GGAAAATTTAAATAGATAAAAATAGAAAAATGCTTAAAATAAACATTGATATGATCTGTCAATTACAAATTTATATATAAAAAAATTGAATTCTGTGACTATTCCCTGGAAGTTTGTAACCTCATGTGCCTTAAGCATCATTTAGATATACTCTTTCCACTTATAAAGATAAGTCTTCGGTAGGTACAGAGAGAAAAGTCTTTTCTCTAGCAATGACTCTTCAGCTAACAGATCTCTGAGCTTGGAGCATCCGCACAATTGCACAGGTTTGCTTCAAAGCTCTAGGAAGGGTGGTTGTTTCACGTGTTTGCCATTGACTAAAACAACTTGTATGGCCTTCAGCAATGCAGATGGCTTTAACATTTTTGAACTTTGACTCCCACAACCTTGCCTTACTGCAGTTTGGAGATGTGGTTAAAACACCAAAAGCCCATCAACAAAGCAAGACTAAATCTGCTAGAAACAACCTATCAGGAGACTTGGATTTGTAACAAAGATTGGCCTCTAAAAAAGTTATATAATTCCTAGAAAAGTCTTCTAAAGTGTGGGTGTGTATATGTACGTGCACCCCATATATGTAGATGTGATTAACTCATTTTACCATGCACCTTTGGCTGCCCTCTGGCATTCCTGACATTTCCAAAACCCCAAGCAGTTTCACACAGCTGCCCTCAACCCCCTGTATTGTTTATAATAGGTAGTGCTTCTATTATAACGATGACAGGCGCACTATTCAGCTTGTGCTGAGAACTTTTATAGTGCACCATGGAGGGAGAGAGAAGTTGTCTAATACAAAGGCTAGATTGTCTTCCATCTGGTGGCAAAGATCTAGAGCGCAACAAGCCATCAGTTTACCCTACCCACTTGATAAGCTGGCTGCACGTATGGCCTGTACTGTGCTAAAGTCAAGTCTCTTAACGGGGAGTTCCTCATAGTTCAGGGGTTCTTAAACTGGGGGTTGGGACCCCTCAGGGGGTCACAAGGGGTCAACCTCCACCCCAAGCCCCGCTTTGCATCCAGCATTTATAATGGTGTTAAATATATAAAAAAGTGTTTTTAATTTATAAGGGGGGGTCGCACTCGGAGGCTTGCTATGTGAAAGGGGTCACCAGTACAAAAGTTTGAGAACCACTGTCATAGTTCATGGGCAGCAACTTTTGTCAGATGAGCCAATAGACTCCTTTTCTGGAAAAAGAAAAGGAGTACTTGTGGCACCTTAGAGACTAACCAATTTATTTGAGCATAAGCTTTCCTGAGCTACAGCTCACTTCATCGGATGCATAATTAAAGTGGAAAGTGCAGTGAGGATGTTTTTATACACACAGACCATGTAATCTCTGGTCACGCGATTACAGACATGAAAGTTGCGATATTACAACAGAAAAACTTCAAAACCAGAGTCCAGCGAGAGACTGCTGAATGGGAATTCATTTGCAAATTGGATACAATTAACTTAGGCTTGAATAGAGACTGGGAGTGGCTAAGTCATTATGCAAGGTAACCTATTTCCCCTTGTTTTTCCTACCCTCCCTCCCTCCCCCCTTCCTCAGACGTTCTTGTTAAACCCTGGATTTTTGCTGGAAATGGCCCACCTTGATTATCATACACATTGTAAGGAGAGTGATCACTTCAGATAAGCTATTACCAGCGGGGGGGGGGGACCTTTTGAAGTGATAGACCATGAAAAAATGGGTGTTTGTGTGTATAAAAACATCCTCACTGCATTTTCCACTTTAATTATGCATCCGATGAAGTGAGCTGTAGCTCACGAAAGCTTATGCTCAAATAAATTGGTTAGTCTCTAAGGTGCCACAAGTCCTCCTGTTCCTTTTGCGAATACAGACTAACACGGCTGCTACTCTGAAACTTTTCTGGAAGTGGCTGTTATGTGTGGTTTTATAACGATTAGCTTCCTCTGGGTATAAAGCAAGTTTCTGAGGCGTTGTGGGCACTTTTGCAGTAAACTGGCTACCGGGGGCAGGGCTTAAATTCAGTCAGAGCTGCCTGGAGTGGAGTTCCAGTAAATATTTTCAAACCTGCAGGGCAGAAGCCCCAAGCCCTGGCATGTCCCACAGGGCTAAAGCCCCAGAGCTCTGGAAAATACTGAGAATTTAAGCTCTGACTGAAGGCGATGGTTTCCCAAAGCCTGTACCTAGAAGGAGTTAGAAGTGGAGATCTTAAAAAGTAGAGGAATAATTATCATTGGAAACAATAATACGTGATGCTGACACACAAGAGCTAGGTATAGCGTGTGCTGTGACTTATTATAAATATACATTGTAATACAAATTTAAAATGTGGCTCATTAGCCTGTCACAAATTGGTAGGGAGGAGGCAAATGAGCACCTAGTACTCTGGAGAGAGTGACTGTCTAATTAATTGCTAATGGTCCTTTTTAGAGCGCCTGGGCTCCTATTATGAGAAAACTAAATGTAAGCTGTTACCTGCCGGATTTGGAATGAGAGTCTGTCATGCTGCTATTGACCTTCAGTTTCTCACATTGATTTGTTTTAACACTCGTGAGATTTACCGGCAGTGTAAAGATTTACTTACGCAATATGTGTTTCAGTCAAACTTCCAGAGTGCCACCTTCTCTTGGATCACAGATTTTTTTTTTTTAACAGATCTGGATATTTCTGTAACAGCAGCTAATGTTTAATTGCATAAAACCCTTAAGAAATGTGGCGACTCTGAGGCCATGTGGGTCACCACGCTGCAGCAGACACCCGGGGTGACTCATGGCCATCCTGGGCCTGTGGATTTCCAAGTTGTTGTAGCTGTCCAAAGATGTTAAAAATAAGCAGCACAGGTTTTGTATATAAATATATATGGGCATGTTTTCAAGGCCTTTTATAAAGGAGGGAAGAACGGTTATCCTTGTTTTACATATGAAGAAACTGAGGCAGAGAATGTGCCCAAGGTCACCCAGCAGAAGAACCAGGAATAGAACCCACGTCTCTGAAGTCCAGTGCAATGATCTAGCCACTAGGCAGCTCTACCTCCCCTATGACTAATGTAGTGATGTGTAGATCTCTGGTAAAATTTTCAAAAGTGGCGAAGTCCCATTTTCAAAAGTCACTTAGGCACTTTTGAAAACGTTACCCCTAGATCAGTCACTGTTTAATGTGACTAACGTGGAAAAGATCTGTATTAAAGTGCCCTTTAAATACAGTGGCCCTTAACCTGGTGACATCAGTGAGCATTCAGAGTATATGTTGAGGAGGAAATCCACTTCCTAGAAACGAATTAGTCCAACGTTCTGCAATGTCAGTAGGGCTCTATAGTGATTTGCATAAGGGATGTTTCTTTGCAAAAGCGTATCTGATGTAGAGCCGTGGGAGGAACCAGCAGTGCAGCAGGGAGTTAACTGCTTGTGGAAACAACTTGTCTCAGTCTAGAGATATGAGGGTCAGTGACTGCATACCTAACAGTGAAGTATAAGAGGGAGCAGTTCTTCATTATATATATTTATTTCCTCACTGGTTGTCAGTGGTGGTATTCCATGAATACAAGTAACTGGCATCTTGGTTCAGTTTCAGAGTCAAACTTAGGCCCCCACCCTGCAAAGACTTGCACATGTGCATAACTCTGAGCATGCGTAGTCCCAGACTACAGCTGGCCAAAGGGTGCTAGGTGTCCAAGTCCCATGGGATACAAGCACCTAATTCCTGTAGGCTCCTTTTTAAAATCCCAGCCTACTAGTGCTTTTAAAAATACATAGAATGCAAAATAATCTGGTTCCCCCCCACCCACACCCCTATTTTTGCTGGACTAACTTTTGGAGGACCCAGGGAATTGGAGTGGGTGTCCTTACGTGAATTAGTGGGGTGTTTTGAAGCTGTAGCATACAGCATGTTTTCCTCCCAACTGTTTTTAGGTCAATGGCATTAAATAATTCTCTAAAACTCTAAGTTCAAAAATCTGAATAAAAAAATCAGTTTTGCTTTCATATAAATCAGGGCTCACAAACTTGGTCTCTGTAACATTATAATCCTGCTAGTTCCGCCAATGTCAGTCTTCCAGGAAAAAATAGGATAGATAAGACCTGAATTTCTGGTAACGATTGTTACAAATGGCTGTTTTCAAGACATTGAAGTTTTCTTCTGGTAAAGAGTAGTTCCTTGTTGCTTCAGCTGGGTGACAAAGCTGTTAGTCACACCACACTTGTCTCATGTCAGAAACTGCTGCTCCTTTATAATGTCGTCTTAGTAAGGGGCTTCTTTAATTTTACAAGTGAAGATTAATCTTCGGCGTTTGACTGGTTCTTGTGTTTTCAAAGCATAGAGAAAATAACCGAGCATCCACAAGGATAGACCACAGCTCCCAGTATATGCTAATGCATATACCAGCACTGCTATGTGCTGGAAGAGATGTCTGGATAACAACAAAACTGGAAAGCATACAAAAATGTATCTGGCTAATGACTTGTGGTAATTGCAGTAGGGTGGAGGGGAAATTTGGGCCCAAAATTCTTCTTCCTTTCAACAAATAAGCAAATAGCTACTACTAGGTCCTGCATTTCTACTGAGGTTATATTACTCTATGACCAGTGAAAATCTGTTCCCTCCCTACCTTTCTTGATAAAGGACACTATGGGAAAAGAACATTGCAGATAAATGAATATTGGAGACCAGAGATTTCCGGTTGTGCAAGATGGGGACATACAAGCCCAGTTGTGAACAGGAGTCAGTTCTGCCCTAGTTGACACTCGCTGTCAAAGGCAGGTTGTGGTTCCAGACAAGCATTCCTGCAGCTGGCTCTCTGTAACACTATGTAACGCTGGTTAGAGGTGTGCAATGTTTTATGTTTTAGGAGAAGCTCTGTGCATTGAGTGTTTACAGGATCAGGCCCTCCAAATGTGATTAAATATGATTCTGATGCGAATACCAGCATGCTGATGGTGTTTTTAGGAGAGGGATATGGCTGCAGCTTTCATTTACTCTGCACATCTTGCCACAAACTTGTATGCCTCCTGACTGTTCTTTCCCTTCCATGGACAGGGTAGCGAAATCCAGGACGGTGCCTATTTGGACGGTGAAAGTGTGTACAGTGAGTCCGAGCTGTTTCCTGATGAAGACACGATGACCCTGGCCCAGCAAGAGGTCCACCATGAGTCCGACATGGACAGTGCCATCGAGAGTGCGCAGAGCTCTGAGGCATCCGACGTGTGCGGCAGTGAAGAGAAGGACAGCGTGCTCAGTGGACTCTTTCTGCCTGTAGACAAGTGAGTGGTGAGGTGCCTGTCAAGACATGAGTCTTGTGCAGGGGAGGGGAGGTTAAACCAGCTGATCCCTCTTGTTTTAGGCCTGTCTGGGCTGAGGTTCTCCGACATGTGGAATTAGGTGTCCAGATCCCTCTATTTAAAATGAATGGGATTTGGTCATCCATCTCCCCTAGTGGCCTTGGAAATCTCAGCCCTTGTGTCTTCTGGCTTGTTCGCCAGGCTCCAGTAGGTTGAACGTGTGTCTGTGGCACCTCGGCTGGGACAAAGTCCCGCTTTATAGTGACAGCGCTGGTTGAGTTCTGATTTGAGCACTGTGCTAATTGCCAAAAATGGGTGGGTTTTCCTTGTTCGCCTTCCGATCTCCTGGAGCCCATTTGTGTTAGGACTCCAGTGTGAATCCACAGCAAAGCAGCAGAGTGTGCAGGTGCTTCTTCAGCCTTACTCTTCTGTCACGCTCAAAGGATGTGAGGGCTGGGCTGAAAAGGCTTTGCAGATGTAGTTGAGGAGCTTTGCGTTGCCATCCTGTGCGTTGGATTCCCCCTGACGTCAGGAGGCACCGTTCAGTTTGTTGGCCGCTAGGGCTTTGCAGGCCTGGGCCTGTGATGTTAACAAGTCACGTCAGGCACCCAGAAAAGAAGGATCAGATGATTAGTGCCTGCCTGTGAAAAGTTTGGGGTAAGTGACTTGCCCAGCATCGTGTAGAACCTCTGTGGCAGAGGCAGGGATAAAATCCAATTCTCCAGGGCAGTATTCAACTGCCTTAATCATGACCCTCCTTTCTCTTCCTGTAATCCATGCCTCATTCACGGCATATCTGCCAATCATAAACTGTGGGAGGGATGGGTTGGGAAGGTCCCAACCACTGAAGCGTTTCTGGAGTTGTGGGTCTAGATAACAGAAGAGGAGCAAGGTGTAGGCCTCCAGTCAGTTCTGGTTATGGGGAGCAATAGGCCTGGAGAAGAAGGATGACCTCATGGTTAGGGTGCTAGTTTGGAGCACCTCAGTTCAATTCCCTGCTCCACCACAGACTTCCTGAGTGACCTTTGGCAAGTTGCTTAGTCTCCCTGTGCCTCAGTTCCCCCTCTGTAAAATGTGGATAATAGCCCTGCCCTACCTTGAAGTGGGGATCTGAGGGTAAATACTGAGGTGCTCAGAAGCTACAGTAATGGGGGGCCAGATGAGTATCTAGGACAGTAACTGCAGCTACTGGGTCTATACAAATTTTGGTCCCCAGAACCCTTCCATGCACAATCTTTACTGCAACCTTTAAGAACAGAAGGTGTTAAAATGCTTTGCTGACTAGTTACTAATCTGTCCCCTCTTCAGGGAGTAATAATCTGATAAATCTCCTCTAGCAGAATTTAAGCCTGCCTATGTGTATGGTCCCAAATGTCCTCTTGTTCTGTGCAAGACTTGAGTTGCCCTAAATTCTGGCTTTGTAAATTATTGACCTTTAGAAATATGAATTACAAGTGCATCTCAGCAAAGGAGGGAAAAACGAGAGCCTACATCTGAAATACTGGCAGGGGGCAGCATGTGAAAATGACATTTGTGCCATCCAGCCACCATTCACTTTAAAATGTTGCTTTGTTTAAACTTTAGATTCCAGAAGAGACCAGGTACAGATGAAAGGGCCCTGCTTGTGAGCTCTCATGCAGAGGAGTCTAGCTTCTTGTAAAAACAGCAGTAATGCAGAAACGGCCGTATTGTCGAGGAGACTTGAGTCAGGTTCCCATTTCATTCCGGCTCTGCCACTTGTCATGTGACCTTCAGCAAATTATTTAACTCTGTTCTCTACCCCAATTTTTTAAAGTGCTTCCTGAGCCCTTAGGTCAGCTTTGTGTGTTGTGACACCCTCTGCACCAGAGGAGGAAGCTCATGAAAGGCAAGGGAGCGTGAGGCATTGAAATGTTATTACAATCTAAAGTTAAAGAATCTTGTTTCACCGATTGCCATATCCCTTGCCCTTTAAGGTCAGTTGTCCTGTCAACCTCACAAAACACAAACACACACACTGTTATATGGGTTTATTGCTGTAATTAGGGGTAGTTTTTTTTTTTTAGTAAATGCAAGTGGATCATGAAAGCTTTTGACTTTTGAATAAGAAGTTGCCAGCCCAAACCAGCTGAGAAAACTGCCTTGGGCAAAAGGCAGTCTTCTGAGGATTGGCCTCCTACCCGTTCTGATGTCTTGTTTCAGGTCAAGTCCTCACAACCCCTCTGACCTCTCCACCTATTCCACCGCCTCTCTGATCAGTAACGAGGAACAATTTGAAGACTATGGGGAAGGAGACGATGTGGATTTTACTCCCAGCAGTCCATGCCCTGATGATGAGACCAGAACCAACGCCTACTCTGACCTTGGCTCATCTGTGTCTTCCAGGTTGGTACTTATTTATTTTGACAGCATATTCTTCTGAGCATGTGTACAGGGGCCGTACCAGAACTTCTTGGATTGTCTAGTTACTTGAAAACTAAAATTTCAATTTCTGCCCACAACACTACTAGCAAATGTCTTTCTTGTAAAAGCCACAGCGACGACTACGTTGTTTCCAGTGCCTGTAATGTCAGGTCACACTGCAATAAACCCCCTAGCTTTGCTCCTAGATTGATTCTCTTTATATATTGCAATACTTGGATTTCGCAACTATTAGAAATTGACTGACTTAAAGCTGGAAATCAGATTAGACCTTGAACAACGTTAGTGCTTGTGCAATGTTTGGGGATGACTAGTATGAATGTCTCCCTTTTTAGCATTCTAACACTGTGTATTAAATATTCCCTTACAAAAAGACATGTCTTGTAAGGATGGATGAGCTTGTATTGGAAAAAAAAATACGAAGATTGAACCTGAATGTCTTAAATCTCTTCAGGAAGTACTCGCTCTTTAATACTTGGAGAGGGAGAGAGAGACGCTGAACTACAATCAGCTGATCCTGTCTTTTCCCATTACCCTGGGCTCAGAATAACCGAGAATCAGACTCTCAGTGGTTCTGATAGCATAGACCAGTGGTTTTCAACCTCCTAGAGTATGTGAGCTCACCGGGGGTATGCAAGAAAAATCCTGTCATAGCAGACAACACATTGTATTTAGTCAGACTTGTCAATCTAATCATGGGTATGTTATGACCCTATCTCAGATAGGGGTATGTGGTAGACTGCGTTATTTGGAAAGGGGTACGCAGCCTGAAAAGTTTGAAAACCCCTGGTGTAGACATAGCAGAAACCATTTGCTCTTTTAAAATCCCTCCTCCAAGTGGGATTTGGTATTGTGGTAATTAGCAGCATATAGTTGATCCGAATGGGCTCTGGAACCCTATCTCTGTTCCTGTAGCTGGCCTTGACAGAGCAGGTGTGGTGGGAGTGGCAATGCATTCCCCAGCACGCTTACTGCAACGTGACTATTTATGAAATACCACTAAGAGGGAAATGAATTTGAATTAGTAACAATAGCCAGTAACAGGTCTCCTTTCCCGCAAACAGTGCTGGGCAAACGCCGAGGAAAATGAGGCACGTTTATAACAGCGAGTTACTGGACGTCTACTGCTCCCAGTGCTGCAAAAAAATAAACCTGCTTAATGACTTGGAAGCGAGGCTGAAAAACTTGAAAGCAAACAGGTGAGTTGCCAGCACTCTGTTCTCAGCAGTCCCTTTTGAAATGGGGCTAGTCAGCAGTCAAAGCAACAGCTACTAAATAAGAAGGGGAAACTGCAGTAATATGCCCCATCTTTTTTCCTGTTAACTTGTATCCAATACATCACATCTAGCTAGTATCAAATGTAACAGGCAGTTGTTCTTGTTGAAGAATAGCATAGGATATTCAAACCTTGCCTGATTTTAACAAGAACTTCTCCCTACCATCAAGAAACTATTTCTCAGTTGGAGCACTAATGTCCTCTTCATTTTAAATACTTAAACAATGAGATCTTGAATTGCAGAGTGTGGGTGGTATTTGCCTGTGGAACAACCTCCCCAAGGAAGTGGGAAGCCCTACTGCTCAGCACCCATGGATAAAATACTGTTACTTGTCTGGGATTGTTCCCTGTAGCACGTTTCTGTCATGGAGGGAGATAAGTTGATCTAATGAGTCTCTGGGGTGGATCCTCAGCTAGTGTAAATTGTCATAGCTCCACTGCTGTGGTCATGGATGTCAATGGGACTGACAGTTTACACCAGCTGAGAATCAAACCATAGAATCTAGAGATCCTGGGGCAGATTCAAGTGGCTTGAGGATTTTATTAACCTAAAACCAGATTTGGGAAAAAAATGCAACTTTAAAACCAGGATGATGGTGACTTCCTCAAGAGTTCTAGCTTTTTCCTTTATATCTCTGTCCCCAATATTGCCACCCACATGTAGATAGACAGTTGCAAAGCATTTTCCTTAGACTCTGAAGGAGTCTAAATATTTCTACAAATCCCTTGCTTATAGTGGCAATTCATCTGTGAACCTTTAGCTCCCCCTAGAAGCTGAATACAAAGCTTGCCTCTTTTCACATTCCCAGGAACTAGAACTTAATGCACTTCATCTAGTCTTGATAAGAAAACAATGACCAAGTATATGTTATGTAACAGTTACAGCTGCTGTCACAGCAGGATATAAAATGTGGTGGTTGTATCTTTGACCATTTTGGTATGAAATTTGACGTTGCAACTGACAGTCCTGAATTCAGAGTAGTGTTCTGCTTCAACAAAAGATGTGCAATCGGTCTCAGTCACAGAGCCGTGCATTTCTATGTATCGTGGGGTAGGGGTGGCTAGTGGATTTGCTCGTGTGTATGAGTTGCAGCAGATACCGTTCTACAGTTTCATTTTGACTCAAGCTGGCAAAAATCTGTTTAAATATGATAGTGCTGTTTGTACTGAATATAGTATTCCCAAATTCATTTTATTCATGATCACGGTAGCTTATGGCTCTACACCCAACTTCATGTTGCATAAGAATGGCCATACTGGGTCAGACTAAAGGTCCATCTAGCCCAGTGTCCTGTCTTCTGACAAAGGCCAATGCCAGGTGCCCCCGAGGGAATGAACAGAACAGGTAATCCTCCAGTGATCCATCCCCTGTTGCCCATTCCCAACTTCTGGCAAACAGAGGCTAGGGACACCATCCCTGCCCATCCTGGCTAATAGCCATTGATGGAACTATCCTCCATGAATTTATCTAGTTCTTTTTTGAACGCTGTTATAGTCTTGGCCTTCACAACATCCTCTGGCAAGGAGTTCCATTAATTATTAGTGTAGTTTATGATTAAGTTTTATGACCATGTTTTGGTGGAGCAAATTAAAAGCTAAAATAAGACAGCTGTATATGCTGTACGGAACTCAATTGGCAACTAAACTGAGATTTTACTGAATTGCACAATAACCAAATAAACTGCTTGCTTACTACATTATTCCTTCTGTCTCCATGTAGCCCCAACCGAAAAATCTCAAGCACAGCTTTTGGAAGGTAAGACACTTGAGCTCATTCTGAGTACTTTGAAATCATTTGTGACCAGAATTCATGCTGATGTCACGGATTCATACTAAGAATGAAGTACTCAAAAGAAACCAAATAGGGTGTGCAGAAGAGAAGCTTTAGGTGGGGAGGAAGTGTCGAGGGGGGGGGAGGTTTGACATGGTTGCGGCTGGAAGCAGCCGCATCAGAAGAAATGCAGCTTAAGGTTAGGATTCCTCCTTCTCTCTTCCCTCCTCAGTCAAGTAGCACATTTAATTCTGAGTTAGCTTATAAAACAGAAGTTGGTTAGTCAAACCCCTATTTACCGGCTTTGCTGACTTATTTCTCTGCTGATTTATTCCACGCTCACTACAATTTAATGTAGTTCTTTGTCCACAACTAATTCTGTATGGTCTCAATTGAGAGAGACTCTCAGCACCTCCTGGCATGAAGTCCCTGGTGAAGGAATTAATTACCCACCAATGTGGAGGAGAGACCATATAGGTGTGGCATTGCACATGAATGGGAAGCTAAGCTAATTGAATTCCAAGTTAGCGTCATGTTGCTGAAAGTGTTGTAATAAAATCTCTTCTGTCTGGAGGCCAACATAGCCACTTGGGTGCTGGATTTAGGAAGAATATAATTTCTCTGATTATAGAGCTGCCGCCTTCAATATTCCATAAGTGAGCGAACTCATCAGAGCCATTCTAGTCAGCAACAGGCTCTTGGAGTGGACAAGCTGGCCCAGTAGGTGAATCAGCCAGTTGTTTCCTTGTTAGGAGTTTGAAAAGATGCCATCCTGTTTGCGTCTTATGCCCCATCAGGAATTACTATTTTATTGCCTTCCTGACCTAGTTTTGTTGCCAGAGGGCAAAGGGAATTGCCCAGCTGTTTAAAAATGGTGGTGGTCACTCCAGATTCAGGTCCAAGTTAAGACTAAGTACACGGACTTGGGTGGAGGAGGAATGCAATACTCATACTGGATCTGGTCCAGGAAATCTTAATACTACCCCTCTTTGGGAAGCAGTGACTTTTTGTACGTACCAGACAGTGGCATATCCTCTCTCTCAAAGTTAAAGCATCGTAATGTGGTGAGGAAAATCTGCAAACATGCAGCTTGTACGTAACTTCCAAACAGGTAGTTTCAAACCAGTCTTAAGTATTCTTAATTCTTGCATATTGCAGCATCACACAGTGGAATCTTCTATGTTTTTTCTGTAAATAAAGAGAACTTTTGTGCCACTTGTTCTGCAAAACTGATAGGTATAGCTACACAGAAGCCTATCAACATCATTTAGGTCCCACCTTCCCCCAGATTTGGCATCTAGCATGTAAGTGAACATGATGTTACATGCAACTTTAACTCCACATCTGGCGTGGACAAGGACAAATAGTGGTTAACTATAAACAACTAACCTCTTTTTAACCCTGCCTAATTTGACAAGCAACAGACATTTGCATCGTGGAATAAACGTATTGGTTAAAGTAGGACGACAAAGTCAAGTGTAATCAGAGCCATACGTAGTTAAGTTATGTTGAAGCTATTGCACAGATGTTAGCTGGGGACATTCAAGGTGCAAAGCCAGTCCATAAAGTAGACTTTTTTTTTTTCCCCCTATGATGTAAAATAATCCTTCTGCTCTTCCAGACAACTCTTCCACAACAGTAATTTCAGCAGCAGCAATGGCAGCATGGAGGACTTGTTCCGAGACAGCATAGACTCGTGCGATAATGATATCACTGAAAAGGTGAGGAGCCTTCACATCATGATTGACAGATTCAGCACAGCTCTTGTTGGTGCAGCCAGAGACCTGTCTGTCTACCAGAAAGAGTCACCCGAGGTGGCTAGTAGATATGGGCAAGATCAGTCAGGATCTCTAACGAAAAGTGAGGAGTAATGGAATATCCCAAAGTTCATGTTCACTTCCTCTCCCAAAAGAAATAGAAGAACCTAACCAAAAAGAGAATGAAAGTACAAGCTAAGAATTCTTTATTGAAATATGATGACATGTAACGTGATTAATATGTAAGCCTTTCACGGAGTAAGAAAATGAAAAAGCAACAATGGGTCTGATTCTTATCTCCACTAAATGCCTGGTCAAAACATAGCTTTTGTATCAGTATTTCAGTTGCACATGAGGTTATTTATATATAATATACATTTTTTTAAACTAAAATGGTTATCCCAGTAAAACTCTTGCATGGGTACAGTTATAGCAATATAAAGGGGTTTTATGCCAGCACAGTTTATTCTTTTCCCCCCAGGGCTAGCTATGCCAGTATAACGGCGTCTACCCTAAGCGGTTGTACTGCTTTAACTACACTGGTATAGTGATAGTGGGACAACTTCTGTGTAAAAAAGAAAGCCCTTACCTGCGCTCTGACAGTGTAAAAGGGCCTTTAAAATTGATATGCCAATAAAGCCAGTATGGATGACAAGTACATCCATTTATGGCCCCTCTGGGCTGCCAGAGCAGCATAAAGAAGCCTTAATGTGAATGAGATTGGGCCCAATGTGTCTGTCAATTCCATTATCGAGGTAGCTGCTCATTTTGCTGCAGCTTAGCTCAGTTTCCCAAACTGAGGCCCACTGGGCCTCGAAGTCCAAAATTTATATAAGCAAACCCAAGCTTTCAGTGCCCCATTTTGGAGCCCAACTTCTGAGGCGCCTTACAGGGGCTTGATTTTCAAGGAGGTGAGCACTCCCAAATCCAAACTCAGGCTCAAGGCATCTCAAGTTGGGCACCTAAAATTAGGGGACACACTTGGCCAATGTGACCTGCCCAAGCTGCAGCAGCAAGTCCATGGCAGAGCTGTGTATAGAGCCCAGGTTTTGCCTTCCAGTCTGGGGCCCTGTCCCACTGCATCACTTTCCCTCCAACAGGCTGACCCTACAAGGGCCCTTCAAGGGAGTCCTGTGAGAGTCACTTTGGTAGAAGCCAAGCCTGCCTACCGCCTTGGAGGATTCACCCTCATAAGCACTAAATCTCATTGCACTACCTTGTTGTAAGAGGCTGAGTGTTATTCATGCAAATGAAGTAATGACAATCTGTCTATTAAAGTGATGCTATGCAGCTTAATTTCTCTATGTATCTAATTCCAGTAAATATGCACTTCTAAGCGTCAATTCATTGTGCGTTTGCATTGATCAGTTTTTGGGGACGTGACCTTAAGGGAAGATCAGAACTAGATGCACTCCTGCTCTCTTGGAAACCTAGACCCTTGTATTAAATTTTGCCTTTGGCACTCAAGTGCAGCTTTGCCCCCTGTTGTGGTTTAGATGTAAGAGGCTGGGTGGGTGTGAAAGAGACTCAAATCCTCTTCTCTTTCTAGGTCACTTATTTAGAAAAAAAGGTGACCGAACTGGAAAATGATAACATGACAAACGGAGACCTGAAGAGCAAACTGAAACAGGAAAACACGCAGCTAGTTCACAGGTAATAAAACATGCAGCCTGCTTCCTCTGTGCTGTGTCACTGCAATTCCTTCAGGAGCAGAGCTATAATGAGACTAGAAGGAAAGTGGAAATCCAGTATTGGGTCCCAGCTGCCTAAATAGAACAAAGTGTGAACTTTCAGGTGAATTTTGTGCGTGTCACTGTCATACACAGAGCAAGTGTCCTCAAAGCTTTTCATCTGGGAAGCCCAAAAAATGGAACTCCACAGCCTTGCTGCATGTGCAGTGAATTGTGTCCTTTAACCAAGAGTAGCAGTTATGGTCCTGCCAAGCAGAGTATCTGACTTGCTTGCAGCTGGCGGCTGTCTAGGGAGAGTCATCTCACATCATGTTATGAAGGGGATGCCCCCATGTCTTTTATGGTATACATACTCGTGGCAGAAAACTGGCCTACGTTCACAGAGAGAACCCAGCATGTTAATACAGAGAATGGCCATAATGGAGAATTAGATATTCCTTAACTTTGGCTGCTGGGAAATGTGCATAAAAGGATCTAAGTGGTAAATCAGTATAGAATAAAAGTGTGTGTGTGTATTTGATGCTCTTGAATGTGATGTGTGGGCAAGTGTTTGAAATTGTTACCAAAATGACTGACCTTCCTAGAGTTCATGAACTAGAAGAACTGTTGAAAGACCAAGAGACGTCAGCTGAACAAACACTGGAAGAAGAAATAAAACGGCATAGAGAAGCATACAGCAAGTATGAAAAAGAAAAGGGCACTGAAATTGAACTGCTAAATACAAGGTAAAAACATACTAGCTGGGATGATGTGTTGTTTAGATCCACTTAGAAGCAGAAGATCTAATGGCTGTTTTCCTCATGTGTTTTTTGTAATCCACTTTTTCCATTAGTGTGTGAACCTAGATTGTATGTTGCCTTGTGTGCAGATGGTTACGGGTTAGATACTTAAAATAATTGAAGAGGAGTCACTTAGTTGTGTAACGTCCAAAGGCATGCTAAGTTTTTTGAGTGTAGGAAGGATCCCTGCCCTGGAGAACTTACTGTAAGACCCAAATTCTCCCAGCTGATCCCTGTTCACAGAGCCCCCTTGGTAGAGGTCTGCCCATGCAGAACAACTTGATAGACACACTATGTACCCAAAAAGGACAGGAGAATGGGATATACTTGGCTTTTCCCCTGAATTGAGATTTGTTGACTCCCTACTCAAGTTGCATTGTGGCAGTGTGTCTTATGGCAGAAGAACAAATGTGTTATGTAAATGTACTTCACTAATGGCTTTCTGGGCACCTACCATCACTCAAATCAAACAGGAAAATAATTACCCTCACGCTGCTGACAAGAACCCAACTGCAGTCAGCTGTTAGATGTTCTCCCAGATGTACAGACATTCAGCCAAGGGCCTTGCACTGGGCACTGAAGGATGCCAAGTGGTAACTCTGGCATATTGTGAGGCAGCAAAGCCTGTAAGAGAGCCTCCTGTGAGCATGCCCAAGAAATCTAGAAAGCACAATCAACCATAAAACTAGAACTTGGGCCAAGGACTCTATTCTTGTTGCCTCTACGCAGACACAGGCGTCTATTTTATCTTCAACCAGGACAGGAAGGATGTGAGACAGAGTCTCTGCTGTCTTAGCCCTTGGAAAGCTGTTTATATCTATGCAGAATGGGTGTAAAAAGCTACTAGAATGCTGGTAAATTACTGCCCAAGGTTCAGGGTGGCAAGTCAGGCCTTGTGTGTTCTGTCTTTGTGCAAGAGATGCCCACTAGAAGCTTAGAAGACAGTAAAAGTTCAGTTGCCTCTTATTACTGGCTTCGTATACAGACATGTCACTGCTTTCTCAGCAACCATTGAATGTAGAAGTCTACATGAGCAGCTTAAATAAGTAGGTATTTGGCTTTCTAAAATTAGTGCTTCAAGGAAGGAACTGGGGCCAACTGTATCAGACACTTCTCTGTGGACTGGTTCCTTTCTCTTAGGCTCTATTCAGGGTCTTGTGCCAGGCCCGTCCCCCTCACATCCAAATGTCCATATGGATCTTTGGCCACTTAAACCAAATCAGTGATACTGCTGAAAACCACTGGGAGAAGTTTTGTCTTTAAACACCTAGGCTCAATAAAGAGACCAGATGAATGGGGTTTTCTGGGGAGCATGTTTCTCTCAATCCCCCACACTTTCCCTGCTGATTGTGTTTACTGTAAATCTCGCTGTCTTTATATAGGGTTCAACAGCTTGAAGAAGAAAATGGTGAACTCAAAACCACTGTTACGCGACTGAAATCACAAACAGAGAAACTAGATGAGGTAATTAAACTTCTGAGTGCTGAACATATCTGTGTAATAAGTGATTGCTAGTCAGCTGTGTGGGCAAAAATTAGTCGCTAAACGATAAGGTTTTTTAACTGACAATCTCCAAAATAAGAGAAAAATAATGTAAATGGAATTGGGAGACCCTCAGTCACACTTCACACCTAAAGGAATATTTCTGAGGCAAACTTCAAAAGTGACTGGCTTTTATAGTCCTATCCAAGACCCATTGAAATGAATGGGTGTCTTTCCGTTGACTTCGTTAGGCGTTAGATCAGAGGCATAGTGAGTTTTCCTTTCAGCATGGTAAAATGAATTGCGTTCTCCTAAATTAGTTTGAAAACTGAAGGGTTTTGCAAGGAAAATGATGGCAGGGGATGAGGAGGAGAGTTCTCGGTCTTCAAATGGCAAGTTTGTGTCCTGTGTTTAAGCTTTTATGCTTTTAAGAAATTATCTCCCTAAACTATACAGAAATATCCCACTTCTCTGGCTCTCGGAAGAGTTCTGGAATATTCACTGACAGATAAAGTACCTGTTTTTGTTATCCTGGGAGGCTGCTTGCTTATATAGTGGCCCCGATCCTGTTAAGTGCTAGTACACTCAGAACTTCCACTGATTGAATACAGCTCTGCATACACATAGCTGGAAGGAGCGACCTCCAGGAGATTAAGCTTCTAGTTGCAACATGGCCCTAGAGTAGCTGCACCCATGCTGATGAATGGTGTTGGCCAATGAGCATGGTGTAAAACAATGATCTGGAAACATGATGGGCCGGGGGAGTCCAACTTGGCTATCAAGCTCCTGGTTTGTTTCAGGAGAGGCAACGCATGTCAGATAGGTTAGAAGACACCAGTCTGCGGCTGAAGGACGAGATGGACCTGTACAAAAGGATGATGGACAAACTGCGACAGAACAGACTAGAGTTTAACAAGGAGAGGGAAGCTACTCAGGAGGTGGGTATGAACAGAGGTACAGAGCCCACTCCAGCAGCCCTTCCTTGCAAGAGTGAGTAAATCAATAGGTGCATCGTCACATGCAAGGGCTGCCACAGGAGGATCCAGGGATAATGTTGTCGATGTGGCATTTCCCCTTGTGGCACTTATTGTTTAACCCTTACTTGTATTGCAGGAGGGCCTAGAGGCACTGAACAGGCTGGCAGCCCCATTGTGCTAGGCGCTGTACAAACACGTACTGATAGTCCCTGCCACAACTGTAGACTTCAGCGCTGCTCTCCCATAATCTCCATGCCTCTGAAAAGGTGCAGCTGTGAAGGTGCCTTTCAAGGTTCCTTAGATACCCTTGCACTTCATAAACTGGCTGTGTGATCAGCACTTCCTAAGATGAGCTGCTGAGGGGCTGGCTGTGTTGCAGAAGCGCCCAGCTGCCCCGGTCTGGATCAGAGCCACACTGCACCAGTTATCCTCCAAACACCTAGGCAGTCCCTGCCCTGAAGAGCTGATCAGTTCGTATGCAGGTGGTCATTTGCTGCTTATTAAAATGGACCATCCTGTCTTCATCTCCTTGCAGCTCATTGAGGACTTGCGAAAGGAACTGGAGCACCTGCAGCTGTACAAGCTAGATTGCGAGCGCCCTGGCCGGGGGAGAAGCTCCTCGTCTAGCGTGAGTGAATTCAACGCAAGAACGAGGGAAGTGGAAATGGAGCATGAAATTAAACGGCTAAAGCAGGTGAGCAGGATGGGGGCTCCAAGCCTCTCATGTTCATGGGGGTGATGATTGGATAATTGTGCAGAGATGCTGGAAAAATATCTCTAATTGTAACTTTTATCAACAAATTCCCAAGAGAAACTTTCATTGCCCTGATATGGAGGCTCTTTATAGCGTTTGCATTTAAGACTTCCCAAGCTCTGTTTGCTTTTTGAAAGGATTGTAAATGCAGCCTGCATAGTGCAAGAGCCATGCTCGTGCATTTGTGTGTGTCTCCTACGCAACGACTCACATGGGTTGACCATGCGATCCAAACTGGAGGCTTTCAGATCCATAGGCCATGTCACTTTTGATAAGGAAGTAACTCTGTTAGCTGGCATCAGTAGTAGGCTGCTATCCTTTATATCAGTGGTCCCCAAACTTTTCATGGTCCTGACCCGGGACCAGGAGTGGGGCTGCTGCTGCTGGGGAGGGGGGCTGCAGCTGCGGGCAGGTCTGGGGCTGGAAGCGAGAACAGAGTCATAGCCAGGGGCTGACGCCAGGAGCGGAAGCCGCAGCTGGACCACAGTCGGGGGCCAGGAATGGAGCCAGAGCTGGGGCCAGGAATGGAGCCATGCCTGAGAGCTGGGAGCAGAGTGGGGCTGGGTGGTTCTCCCCCTTTCTGCTCTTGCGGGCTGGCCCAGGCCCTGCCATGCCCCCCCTTGGGGGGGGAGTGTGCCCCACAGTTTGGGGACCCCTACGCTATATGAACTAGACCCTAAAAGCAATCCATACATCAGTAAACGTGGTACATGTTCACACAAGAAGTTTTGTCACCTTGGCCACAAATAATAAAGGCATATTTGAGTTGGGGCACTTTTGTCGGTCTGTATTTTTCTCCCCAATATGACTAAGCTCCTAGGGGTCATCCCAATAACTCTGACTGGAGTCTGTGTTGCTTGAAGACTGTCTCCAAAATTGGAATGCTTACAGTAACCATATTTGAAGACAAAGATGAAGATAGGGCTGATAGTTTTCCATTTTCTGTACTAAGTGGCTGAACAAAGTGAAGATACACATGGGTTTGTTTGTTTGTTTGTTCTTTTAAGTGTATCACGCTTGGCACAGAAGCTGATCCACAGCTGGGATCAGTAGGAAAGGTCTTCTGTGAAGGCCCTGTAACATTAGGTGGAATTATTGTGTGGAACTTAGGTCTTTCTCTGAAACCCTACAGTGTTTGGCCATTCTTAGAGGTACCATTGTAAAGGGCAGATCTTAAAGTGGATAGTGACATGCAAAACAAAAGTGGTGTTCGCTTTCATGTTACTTGAGCAGTGTATTTCTTACATTTTATGAAAACTCCATTCCATTCTCTTTCCTATTTTAATAGGAGAATCAGAAACTTCGTGACCAGAATGATGACCTTAATGGACAGATCCTAAGTCTTAGTCTTTATGAAGCTAAAAATCTCTTTGCAACACAGACAAAAGCCCAATCACTGGCTGCTGAAATCGACTCTGCATCAAGAGATGAGGTAATGCAACTGAGAGAAAACAATGCTAATAACTGAATATAAAAGTTCTAACAAGCGGGAACAGATTAACTGTCAAGGTGAAGGTTGTTACACAGACAAATCAGCAACATAATTCCTGTTCTGCTAGGAATGTAGCTAAATCTAGTGATCTTTTCAGATGCTTATTTTAGCATTATCCAACTAGTTTCATTATCAAAATAATAGAGAAATTCCATCTTAATATGGGTTTGTTTCAAAGGATGGCAGCTTTCAATCTAAAGGCGATCTATTTAAGGCACTGACTGCTGTTATAGACGCTGTTTTGCTGTATAGCAGGTGCCTTATGGTATCTCATTTCTTCAAGTGTGGTCCCAGATTTTCTGATCAGATTTATTCCAGTGTCAAACTGGAGTAACTTCAGAGGATTTACTCTTGTATAACCAAGAGAGAATTTTGCTCATGCTTCAAACTGAGTTTACACATTTGGCTCCTCATTTTCGGTTGGCACAGCCTGGGGAAAACCCGGCACACCTCCCAGTTGCTAAGAAGCTGTAAACGATACTGCATACTTTAACTAACCAGTCCATATTTGTCCCTGTTGATAAACCCATTCACCTCAATGGAGTTAATGCTAATACCATGAGTTTGTGACTGTTGATAGCTGACCTTTCAAAAAGCAACTGGCTAAGGATTTGGCCTACGTGAACCTTTGTGACTCCATTGACTTTAATGGAGCTATATTTATTGAAGACCTCACCCTATTTTGGAGCCTAACCAAACAGAACTAAAAAGTTTGTGTACAAACCCATAATGTAGACGCTTAATGAAGTAGCACTTAGCAAGATATTCTAGAGGAGCTCTTACACTTGGGCAGGGGACCAGGTGAGATGATTCGAGAGGTTCTTCCAAGCCACAAGGGCTATGGACTTTGAAGGCAACCAAAGGTCAGTATTAGTATGTAAGTATTGGATAGTTTCCCTTTCTGCTTTTGTAAAGTGAGTTGTGGTATGGAACTTGTACCCAACTAAGCACTTGAATAGACCTGTTGACTTCAGGGGACCACTCCTGGGTTTAAAGTTAGGCGTGTGCTTAAGTACCTTGCTGGATCAGGGCCTTGTGGAGACTGGTTGTGTGGTGTCGCTTTGTGGAATTTTTCTCAGGGCTAGTCTACACTAGAAGCCCTACAGCAGTGCTGCTGCAGTGGGTCTGGTGAAGATGCTCTATGCCAACAGGAGAGAGCTCTCCCATCGGCAGAATAAATCCACCTCTCTGAGAGGTGGTAGCTGTGTCGGTGGGAGAAGCTCTCCCGCTCTCTCTAGTACTGTCCCCCCTGGCACTTACGTCGGTGTAACCGACGTTGCTCAAAGGGGGGTATATTCACACCCCTCAGCGGCGTAAGTTATCCCAAAGTAGGTGGTGAGATAGACCTGGCCTCAGAATAAGACAAACTACATGTTTGCTGCCACCAAAATAAGTCTTGTATCCAGTCTTTAATCTTACCAGAGCTAATGCAGAACTTCTGGATCACTGTCTAATACTGAGTAGCATGTTCAGGTGGTCCTGCTTAGATGCCTCTGTCTCCTTGTTAATTGCTATGGTTAGTCAAACAATGCAGTTTTGATCGAGGGAGGAGGGGAAGAATCTGACACATTCTCTACAGAGATGAGCTCTATAAGGCACATTTTGTAAAAAAAAAAGAAAAGTAACCCTGGCTTGTGAGAATAGAGAGAGTATCCCAACGGGAATGCCAGGCTACTGTTGTGTTGAACTATATATGATAAATTTATATTCCCGTCCAGCTGGAGACCTGGAGATGCTGGCCAAGATTTTCCAAAGTGACTCGTGATTTTTGGGGCACCCCACTTTTTAGATATAAACAGACACACCAGAAACTGACATCCAAGAGACTTTTTTTTTTAGAGGGCGGGGCGGGTCCTTAAGACTTTTTCAAAAACTTGTGCCTTAAATTGGGCCCTGAATCACTGTCACGGGACAGCTCTGGCCACTCTTTGTCATCTCAGCATTCCTGCCCACAACCTGGCCTGCTAATCTCTCTCGAAGAGGCAGCTGAGCCTTCAGACCTTCTACTCACTCACAGTAGCAGCCTGGGATTTAGCTTCTAATCTGACCAAAAGAATCCACCAAGGCTGCCACAACTAACTCTTAGTTTCTGGTTTTCCTCCCAAAAAAGGCATATCTTGCGTCTTTGGCTTGACGCACGTCCTGCTGCCACCATAACTTACAGTGGACCATGTTCGTTAAGTTTCAGACCTGTTAACAATTTTTCATCATAATGTTTTCTCTATAACAGATTCTCACTGTAAATAGAAAATATAATAATTTTGGCCTGAGATTTTAAAGGCCACCTAACAGAACTGGATGCCCCCAAACCATTAATTTTAATGAGAACGGGGCATCCAGATCTCTTAAACAGCTTTGAAAATCTCACCTGAAACATGCTGTGTATATAAAGCAACTTGTCTTGAAATGAACTAAAGATGCTCTCAGATCCTAAGAGCCTTGGTGAAAGTACGATATGTACATTTCCCCTGCACGTTAATATAGCACCAAAGGTGCATTATTTATGATTAAAATAGATCTTTTTATTTGGACAGGAAACTGTAGCCTCAAAACGTGTTTTAATTCTCACGCTGTTCCTCAATACTCTGTATTTACAGCACCCTTTTTTCTACAGATGTAGGAGTGCTTTAAAAAGGTTTCATTAATATACGCTCTCAGATGAGGAAACAGACACCCACTCGTTCATGAGCAGGCAGTATGGGCTAGTGGATAGAATACCAGGCTCTGAGTCGGGAGCCTTGGATTCTATTTACAGCTTTGCCCCTGGCTCAAGTGACTTGCTCAGTGGTACTTAGGGGTATGTCTACACATACAGCACTGCACCTATGGCACTGCAGTGCGTCCGGTGAAGACGCTCTGTGCCGACAGAGAGCTCTCCTGTTGGTATAATAAAACCATCTCCGAGAGCGGCAGAAGCTGCGTCAGCAGGAGAAGCTCTCCCACCGGCGTAGCGCCGTCTAGCGCTCATGTCGGCAGAACTTATGTCGCTCAGGGGGATGAATATACCACCCCCCGAGCAACATAATTTACACAGACCTAAGTGCCTGTGTTAGCCAACTGCATAATGGGGATACTTATCTACCTTTTTGTGTCTTCACTTTGCGATCTCTTGGGGTGAGGGAAGGGCAGAGTATCATTAGAGGCAATGAGTAATTTTTTTAATACAAAGGGAACCCGAGGCCAAGCCTCATACCTACAGCATTGTGTAAATTAAAATTAGATGAGTGACATTTTGCAATAGATACTTAACTTGGGAATCTTTGTTTCAGCTCATGGAAGCTCTTAAAGAACAGGAGGAAATAAACTTCAGATTGCGACAGTATATGGACAAGATTATTTTGGCCATCCTAGACCACAACCCATCTATCCTGGAAATAAAAAATTGAAGGACAAAAAGCAATTGCCTGATATTTCTGCACATGCCACTGGATCTAAACATCACTCTGATACTGTAAATGATTCTATATATATCTTATGTGTGAATGTGGGGGTGTGGGTATGTTTATATGATGTCTGGTACACTTCTCTGTGAGTCATCAAATCGGCTTGATTCATTTTTTTCATGCACTTTCAATATCTGTGACAAGATCGCTACTATATATTAATGTTATAACAATATAACTGGATCACGCTGTTTTAGCTACTGGACATAATGACTCTACCTCTAGTGGTAAGGGTGAAATACAGTGGACGCATATGGATGTCTCCCCTCCCTTTGAGAACAAGAATTACTCTTTCATTCTTTCAAATGAATGAGGGTACTCCCAAAAATTCAACATACCCAGGTTTGATTCCTGTCTGGTGCTGACGACATCACACTCTCTATTGAATTTAGCTTTGCCAGAGCTTTACTACTGAAACCACAGAGGTAAAAATAAACCTTTGGCCAAACCTGTGCATTTTTAAAAATGAATATCTGGGGGGGATGAGGCTCAGACTGCAGAATTGTTAATATCCATGTAAAAACACCATCCGCTTGTTTGCCACTGTCAGCAAAAAGTGCTTTTAATATGAAGGCCACATATCCAAGTTCAGGATGATTGCGAGTCTGTCTGGTGTGTGTATGTGTTGAGCCTGGGTCCCTATCGCACTGAGGCATTGCAATGTACACCCTTATTTACAGGGGTTTATCACTGGGCCATTTACAATTAATTCTGGGATCCAACTCCTCTGCATTTGAAGGCTTCAACCAGGGAACACATTCTATTTCTTTTAACTGTTACTGACTGCATGCAAATCCACTTCATTATTTTAAAGAAAAACTTTAACTTAAACAAATAGCTCAATTCCCTTCCCCACAACCAAAGCACACTGTTGCACTCCTATGAGAGAGAGAGAGAGCTGGGGGGGGAGGGGCATGGAAGAGAGAGAATGGTGGGATCCTCCTACAGTTTTGTAGTTGGTTAATCCCTGATGTAAACTAATTTTAACCTTTGAGCGGTTAAAAGTAAAAATCACACTTACTGCACATTACCTTGGTGTCTTATGTTCCACCCCCAACCCCACTGTTTCACAAGAGCTTGCATTCACCACCCACATTACCCATCCCAAATACTACATCTCCTGTCTGAATACACACATGCACACATTCATATGCTCTGAATTGGGAAAGTACATAAGCATGTGCTTAACTTTAAGCATATACTGTACTTAGGTCCCATTGGAGTTAAGGATATGCTTAAAGTTAAGCACTTGCATAAGTACTGTCCTGTCTAGGGATGGGTTTAAACACCATTTATGTGCTTCCTGAATTGGGTCCATTTCTTGTAGAATTAAGACCTTTTAGCTAAAAGTAAAATCGGCTAGAAGTTAAATGCTGTGAAATTTTATTCCAAGCACTAAACATTTTGTTTAAAAAAAAATTTTTTTTGTACACTCTTTAAAGTTGAAAAAAAACAAACACAGTTGGAGAGGAAAAAAATCCATCCTTTCATACCAATTGGCACAAGCAGGGACACACTCTGGTTGATTTCTCTGTAATCAAATGTCTGGCTTTGCCTACGTGCATAGAGATGTGTTCTTGTTTGTTTTAACACGCTCCTTGGAAATGGACGGTTGCAGTAGATATGACTGATTTTCTGTATATACTTGTTGGCAGTTTGTCTCACACCTACCATTGTCTTTGTGTATTTTTGTTTGTGTATCGAATGCATTTTTTCCATAATCTGAATACCTAGAGCATGTATTCTGTTACTGATGTAAATATATATATATTTTTTTTTCTGCAGCTGCTGTAATCTTACCTTCAGTGATATCTTATTGGAGTAACGGGCAGGTGTGGGGAAGCACTGAAAATTGTCTTTCCTGAAGGCAAGACAATAAAACCAATTCAGTTATTTATTTGAATCCGTCAGTTAAGCTCTAGGTAGGGCCACAGGACTGGAGGAGAGCTAATGATGAAAATGTAATTGTCCTTTCAGGCCTGGGTGAACTGTATAAGGGCTTATCTCCAGTGGAAAAATGTTATTTTGGTGCTTAACATTAAACACTTAAGGATAGAGTCTTAGCAGAGGAGATTAGGAAGAAGGTATCTCTAACCCCTTTGCTCCCCTGATTTTGGAGCAGCCAGAGGGAAAAGTTGAGTCCAAAGTAACTATGCTAAATTACATGGGCTCCGGCAGTCTTGCACTGGTTCCATCAGTAGGAGATCAGGCAGAGCATCATCCCCTTCCCCTATAAGGGGGCTGATGGGGCAACTGATGAGGTTGAAACAGCTATGCCAGCTTAATTCTACCCAAGGATTTCCCTCTAGTGGAAAGATCCTCAGCTGTGCTTCAGCACTGAAGTTTCCACTTGCTTTGTGCTGCCTCTAAGTCTGTGCCATAAATCTGGCCCTCTGCATAGACATGGACTATCCTGTGTTTAAAATCGTGTGAGCTGGCCATAATTAATCTTAAGATGTGATCTAGGTTTAGGTGGCCCTTGAGGTAAACTACAACCAGCAGACGCAATACAAGACCTGATGGTCCTTGTCTGTAAACGTGCTAAGGTACGTTTTTTACCATTCTAAAGCAATGAAGTTTGCAGCTGTAGATGAAGCTACTGCTGTTTCAGATTGGAAAGTGTTTCCTTATTTAAATATTAGGGGAAATACTCAGGTTTTCAAACATTTATTTAAAAAAAATGAAGTCCAACATTCAGAATTTTGTAGTATAACACTTTAAAAGCCTTTATTAGAGCGGGACAGTCAATTGATGCTTTGAGTAAAGAGTGACTAAGGTCTTCAGGTTTTGGTTAATAGAAAATTATTAAATTGGATGTTTTAGAAGCTGAAAGCCTGATCCTGCTCACATTGAACTCAACAGCAAAACTCCCCTGGAGTTCAGTGGATGCAGGATTGGGCCGTACATAATTAGGGTCAAATTCGCCCCTGTGCACGGAGAACTTACATCCGTGGTAAATAGTCTTAAGTTTCACTTGAATCCTCACAATAGCATTTGGGCTACCTGTACACATAGGTCAATTTCATGCTTATAGGTAGATTTTTTTAAAACTGTTTAGCAGTTGCATGGGGAGCTGCTCGGTGCTGAGAACTTGAAAATCTGTTCCTCAATCCATAGTGTTTGTGAGTGTGCTAAAGCAGTTGCCTTAAATAGGTTTTGATTGCATAGAAGGCAATTACATTTCCACTCCTGAGGGGAATGACTTTGTATGATAGCTTGTATATTTATTTTTAATGTTGCCTTTTCTTTCTGAATGAAGAAATTTATTTTTCTCTCAGGAGTCACTCTTCTAAAAAACAAAACTCTAGTTCTGGCAACTTTAGGTCTAATTTTAGATCTGCAGTAACTAGTGACCTGTGTAAGACCAAGTTGTCTTTGGCACAAAAGCCTTGGGACAAAAGGTGTTTTTCATACAGGTGATGCAATGTCACATCAGTAACAAGGAGTCATTACCTTGATGGAGACTTATGGGAACACAACCTGCTATTAACATCTGAACTTGGACACAGCAGAGAGACTGGCCCTGTAGAACAATTTTGGCAGAGTGGGGAGGAGAGAGCCAGTTGTAGCTCCCAGCTGTGCTGGCTTTTGGATGCCCCTCTCAACCATATAGCAGGGGAATCCCCAGCAGGGGAAATGCAAGCAGGACCCAGGATCTAGTTTGTATTTACACATGCGCTGCCTGAGCCTGCAAACACTTGAGCATATGTGTAACCACTGCCATGACTATTCCCATTGAACTTGATGGAACTGTCAACGGAGGAAAGTCACTGATGTTGACATTTGTAGGACTGGGCCAATCCAGTCATCTGTGCCATATTTAGTTGAGCAATGATTTACCTTGCTGGGTAGATTATTTCAAACTCAGATTAAAATATTAATCAGTCTAGTTTTTTAATGTTACCTCCAGTTTAGTAATACCACAATACAACGAACATTTCTATATTGAAATTGAGCTTTTTTGACTCTGACAGCCTAAGTTCTGTCCGAGATACCATATCTGTATTTATCTGCTCCTTACATGGAGCAAGTTCTCTCTACTTCAAATCCTCAAGCTAAAGCAACATTGAGGTCAGCCTAAATGCAAAGGGTTTTTTTGTGCAATGGAAAAAGACAGTTTACTTCTTGCCAGAAGTCACACTCAAATATGAAACACTGCCTATTGTGGAAAAGGCACGGTTTATTTATTTGTTTCAGAGTCACTGAAGTCAAGCCTCAAATCCTTTCTAACATCAGTAGTTACACATTAAGGGGCAGTTCTCCAGTTGATGCATATTTAGTTTTGATTTCAGTGGAGTGCCACAGATTTATACTAGCAGAGGTTCTGGCCAAGAAACTTTAATTTGTACTGACATGGGAAGGAGAGAGAATGTTTGTTTTCCTATATTTTTGAATCATTTCAGTTTTATTAGTTCTGAAACTAGAGCTGGTTAGAAATTTTCATTTTAAAAAATTGACATTGACAAACTTTCACATGCCCACCCCTGAACTCCTTTTTTTTTTCTTTTTTTTCTGAGCAGATCTGTAGGAGGGGGACCAAAAAAAAAGTCCAACTAAAAAGCTTACTTCTTTCTTCAAGGCTGTTTTTTTTTTTCCGGGGGGAGTGAATTCAGGGGTTTTGGGGTTGGTGTTTTTTTTTTTTTTTTCAATCAGCTCTATGGAAGAATTACTATAGTTTTAATTAATCCAGTTGGGACACCAAGGAGAGATGAAGGTCCGAATTTCTGCTGGCATAAAATGGTATAGTACTGTTAATGGACCCATGCTAGTCAACACCAGCAAAGAATTTTGCCAGTTATACTTATGGTGGCAATTTAGGACACTAAGGCTAATGTACAAATGAGGAGTGTGCCCTGTAATAACACACTGACCCAGCTGGGGAAGTGGGCTAATAAGAAAAGTCAGTATTAAATGTCCTCTCTGGCCTAGTTCTAGTAGTCTGGGATAAAGGTCAAGCATATTGGAATTTTAAAATTAAATCGGAGAAGTTAAATACCAGCAAATACAAGAGTGTCATCTTTTAAACAAGGGGGAACAGAAACCCTAATTTGTGTAGTGTTTTCAAGACAACCTGAATCAGGGGGCCTGGTCGAACTCCCATTGAATCAATGGCAAAACAGCCTGCTGCATTCCACGGGAGCTGGATCAGACTTTCTGTGAGCAGATCTCTCACAGTGTAAGTAATGTTGCTCATCTGTGCATCAAGTGTCATTACGGTAGCTGCTCCCAGAAAGTGATCAAAAGGGCATTGCAGTCAGTGTAACGCAACTAAACTGTAATGATAATGCTTCAATTTCATTCCTGTTGTGTAGTGCATATTGTTCTAGTACTTTCAAATAGAGGAGTATTGATCTCAACAGCTGTTTGTTACTTGATGCATAGCAAGTTGGGGGAGGGCAGAGGGGTGTTAATGAAACTTTGCATGTGTGTGTAGAGGTTGATACGGGTTACAGGATGCATTAGGTTTGAATTCTGTAACCCTGACGTACAACATTGTTCTGTCTATACAGGCTCTTTGGTGGGACACATTTTTTTTTTCTCTTGTACTTTTGTGAGGTCAACTGAACACCTACAAATGAAACACTTTGGTAACTTAAGTTAAGCAAAGAGTATGTGATGTTGGCGTGCACATTGGCTGAACTGGGTTTGTGGGTTCTTATATAGTTGGGATAGTCTGAGTCTGATTATTAGAGCTGGTGAAAAAAAATTTGTCAGACACTGAAGAAAAATGGTATTTTTTTCTTTAAAATGTTTTAAAATATTCCTTTCACTCCCTCCTCCACCCTTTTCCTGTTTCTATTTTGCTACCAGGAAAGGAGGCTAAAAAAGGGGAGGGAAGCAAATTATTTAAATTTGCAATTTTGAAAAATTAACATTTTTGTTCAAATTTCCCATTTAAAAAAAAACTGGCCTTTTTACCTGCTCTAATAATTACATCATGCCATTTTGCGTAGTGGAGATCTAATTGGTGGTCATTCCATTTTCTAAATCAGAGAGAGAGAGAGAGAAATCTGATCAAAAACTTACCAGGGGCAAATTCAAGTCTGTGGAAGGTTAAGGGTCCTTAACACAGATTTGTTTACCTACAGAACAAGGCAAATTATTGATAGCTTGTGTATGTTAAGAGCAACCTGTTTGAGGAGGTTTTTTGGTGCTGAATGACGGATTTTAGGAAAGGTATGAGAATGTCTTGAATCTCCCCTTTGGGGACTGATCCTGCGTTCCTTGGGCAGTCAAAACTCCCACTGACATGAGGTTTGGCTGTCCAAGGAATGTATGCTTAGGTCCTTAAGCTACAGGGGAGCAGTGCTTCAAGCTGCCTGCATTATCCAGTTGTCTCAGCCAGGCTGTGGAGCACCTGTTTTCAGGGCTGAGAAGGTATCAGTATGGAGACTGAATATTCAAGTCTATAAGGTGGTGGGTTTTTGTGTGATGGGTCTTGCGTCGCTGGAGGTATCTGGTAGGCTTTTCCTTCCACTGTTCCTACCACTGTCTTAGAGCAACGTGATAGCAACAACAGGAACACTAATGTAGACTGGATGCTGGAGTTTGAACCCTCGTGCTGCCCTGCCCTGAGCAGGTATAAATGATACAGTGCTTGAAAGAGAAGCTGAGCCCAGTACCTTGTCTATGTTAGAGCCCCGCTGCTTCTATCACTGATGGAGGTGAGCCAGCATTAGCAACAATGAGAGGTGGTTTTAGAGGAGGGAAAAAAAGCCTATTGTAGGTAAGGGCTTAATGGCCCTATTTACAGTGACCAAGGAAAGTGTGTTAGCAGGAGAGCTGGTTTAAAAAAAAGTGTTGGAGGAGATCCAAAATTTTGCCAACATTTCTACTGAACTTTTCCAAACGTCAAAATTTTACCAATTTCAAACAATGTGACCAGCTCTAGTTCGTGGCTCTGTAGTGAGCTGTGCTTTGGCTTAATACAGAGGTGTTAGCCTCATTTCTTTGGCCAGCGTGAAGAGGGCCTCTGTAACAAATTATGTGGGCCAAATTTTAATTTTAGCTTAATAGTTTTGATGATGATTGTGATTTGGATGTTTAGCACTTGCTGTTGCAGCGGGGAAGAACGGCCAGAATAGCAAGGGACACTCCATACTCGCTTCCAAATAGACTTGGGCAGCACATGCTCTCATGCAAGAGAGAACAGGGGTTGTGCATTAGCTCCCTTTTGCTTATAGCTGATGCCAGTCCTCCAATAGCAAGAATTCCAGCTTTACATTTCTTAGGTGTATATCCTTCTTTGCAAGGTAGCTGAACCTAAAAGCCTGTACACGTAAGTAAAGTCCAAATCTATTTAGGGTGCAATTCTGCAGTCCTGTCTTGATCAGAACTTCCTGGTATGATCCATGATGTGAATTTTGCATGGGCAAGCTTTTAAGAGAGCTGAGGGGAAACAAACATTAAGAAGTCATCCTGGTTATCAGAAGCTCATACCAATAAACCGGGAGGGTAGTTGCTTTTATTGCATGATTTTGAGATAGATAGATATAAAATACACATACAGAGAGAGCTATATAGTGTAGAGCATTGTTGAGGATAATATTAAAGTGACTTTTGGCAGGCACCAGAAAGATAAGGTGCAGCACTTATCCATTCAGTGGACTTTGGATCATGCCCATAGCTCAGAGTAAATAACACACTGCATACAGGAAGAGTCATTCTTCCAAATGCCAATTCACACTTGCTGGCTACCATGACTTAGCTTACAAAAAAACTAGCCACTAGCCAGGTTGCCCTTTAAGAGTTTACCTTGACTAGGATTTAAAGGTATGGTGGTAGAAGGGGCCAGCTAACTGACCTGTTCTAAAAGTCCAGACAAGGCCGTGTATAATCTTAAATTGTGCTGAGCTGTTCAACATTGCTGATATTAAGGGAATTCACTGCCGTCTCTACACTAGACTTTTAGAACGGATTAGTCGCCACCATCAGACAATGCATCTTTAAATCCTAGAACCGACAGACCCTTAATGGGTCTTTCACAACTCATGTGCCATTAATCTATACTTTGAGTCAATAAAATCCATTGCACTGTATAATTTACTTAAAGTTGCTCCAGTAAGCAGGAGAGTAACATTTTTTAACTGGATCTCACCAGAGCACATCCTTTACCCACACCCATGTCCTTGCTCATCACTTAACCTTTTCACTGCTGCACAGAAGAGCATGTGCCTGTCTAGGTGTTTATACCGTGCCCACCACCATGATATCAGAGCGCTTTAGTGCACCCATTTTAAACAAATGGAGGAGAATACACCTGAAATGCTTCACATCAGGGAATTTTTAGATATTAACTCTTGGGACTTTAATCATGTTCAATAACCAGGCTAATCCTATCCACAGCTTTAATATGGGTACGGAAGACAATTAAGATCCACTGTGTACTACATGGAGCATGTTGCAGCCAGTTGCCTTGATAGTTGAATCCACAGTATAGATCAGCCCTAAACCAGTCCAGAGTGAGGCTGCACGAAGACATTCCTCTGGGTTTTATTTCCTACTCCGCACAGCAACCAAATTAAATGCAGTGATTAAAACCTATATTTGCAAGACATAGCCTTACCATGTAGCTTAGCCTAGCACTCTGTACCTCCATAGACAGATGCAGATCATGTATGGGTTGCTGTAGTTAAGGGCACTTCAGCCAGGTCTGTGCTACAATAAATTCCACTGTAAATGTTGCATTGCATTCCTTAAATTGTGCAGTTTGGGTTTTTGGAGGGGCCAATAAACTAAAATTCTTGCAGATTTTTAACTGTAAAGGTAATCCTTAGGTTACTTTTTTTTGGGCTAAAACTTGAAGCATAGTGGAAAATATGTATTAATAAAACTGGATGTCTGATATTTCCTGCACCTACTTTGAACTTGCACACAAGTTTATTTTTTAACTGGATGTTAGTGTCACAGCTGTAACAATAGAGTTGTCCACTTTCATGGCACCATTCTTAGTGGAGTGAATTCACCGTGGCCTGTAGAGGTGGCATAAACCCCTCTGGACAACTTATGCTGCGTGTCAGGCCTATGAAGAATGGTGTGGAAAGGGGTACCCTCTATGCACCAGAGAGGAGATCTCTTTGGGGTAGGCTGGCACTTAAATGGATCCAGCGTCCAGCAACCACCCTGTAGAGTGTGTAGAGAGAATGCAGCTATTCCACCCTACAGACTGGAACAGAGACCATGCATGACTGTACTGTAACCCCGGTCTTCCCAACATGTACCCCATCTTGTCTCCTACACTGCCCAAAGCCCATTTCCCCAGGCTTGGTGCAGGGAGAATTTCACTCCATATGACTACTTTAGTATGCTACAGAGCAGTAAATGTTGCACTTACAGTATGTTTAAATACTGGTATATTTTGAGAATTACTGTAAATTCTATCATGGGAGCCATTCGGTTTGCTTTGTTGCACAGACTGTACTTATGTTTATTGCACGATTATTTTTAGTCCTTGTGCCTTTACTCACCTGCCATGAGGCTACAGAGTTTTTTTCCATATTTTATCTGCTATTTTGGGCACATATATAATTTTTTTTCCATTTGTTCATCTCTGCATTTCATGTACTGTAAAGGTGTATATATAAAATAGACCAGATTTGTATTTCATGTGCATCCATGGGATGTAAAAAACAAACTCATTTTGTACAGGTTTTTCTTAGACGCACTTTGTCATGCCCTAACCTACTTAGCAAATTAAATTTAAAAATAATTAGCAGTTCTGTGTTATTTTAGAAGCATCACATTGGATGCCTGGTATCTTTTGTAAAGTGATGTCTCTCTCTCGCGCGTGGGCGCACACACACGCATGCACACAAAAGCACTAATCTAGTGTGCTAATGTCATTTATTATGAGGCCAGTTGTATCTTGTCCATGTCAGTGAATTCAAAATAACTAAACCTCTACATTTAGTTAGGGCTTGATTTGACAATTTATGGTTTTTATTCACGGTAGAGGCGAGCGGTTTCCTTTTACTTCAAATGACCAGGAGACACAAATCTCAGCTCATCTCAGGTCAATTTCAGTTTAAGGAGTAGTTTTTTGGTGACTCATTTTGCCAGCTGAACCCAAAAGCAAAATCAGAGGGCCTACCGCTTCCCCCGGTGTATCAAAGTTAAAACTCTTTGTAACTCATCCTGGGATTCTTGGCTCTACGCTCTCATGCTGAGTGGGAATTTGTCCAAAGAAAGAGCTTCAGGATGCCAGGGGTTAGTTTGAAAATAAATGTGATGATACAACCTGAGGATGGAATAAGAAGTAACTTGCTGTCTGAAGGGAAGATCTACACATACTCTTTGTACCAATTTAACTGGAAGTTTATATAGTTAGATCAGAGCAGTTCCCTGCTGTGGACAGTTATGCTGGTATAAAAAACCAAAAGGTGCTCATGCTGGGTTAGTGTATGGAAATAAGCTATACTGCTAGACCAATATCACCACAGCTGCACAGTGGGATTGCATGATCTGATTATATTGATTTCTACATCAATATAGATAAAATGGTACAAAAATTGTGCAGAAGTGTCCTAATGGGCAGTGTGGGGTAATCCCCTTTACGGCCTCTTCAGAGGAATATCTCCCCCTGACCTTTCACATTGCCCCCAAAGCTGCCGTGTCCTGTCTGTGGGTTTGGTCAATGGTAAAACTCCCAGTGACTTCAGTGGAGGGCTTAATCCAAAACATGAAGTGGTCAAGGAACAGACTCCTGTTGGCTTTGGATCAGGTCCTAAATACACTAGAGCAGGGGTTGTCAAACTTCATTGCACCGCAGCCCCCTTCTGGCACCCAGGACAGAAGCCCTGGGGCTTTGGCCACGCGTGGTGGGGCTCAGGCTTGGGCTTCAGCAAGTTTAACGTCAGCCCTGACAATCCCATAAAAACAGACTTGCGCCTCACTTTGGGGTCCTGACCCACAGTTTGAGACCCCCTGCACTAGAGCATGACAGTAATACCAATTCAAAGCACTTTACAGATGGGGAAAATGAAGGTGCAGGCCTCATGAGCATCTTTGGGCTGTTAAAGCAGACCCAGGAGCAAAGCCTCCAGCCTCTCAGTATAGTTCCTGCTCATTCAACCACAGAATCAGAAACCAGAGTAGGAAATGTCCTAGGAGGTAGAGAGGATCCAATCTCTGGCCAGCCAGGGACCTGGCTTGAAAATTGCTTAGTGCCCTCAGATAGGGTTACCAGATTTGAACATTCAAAAAAAGAGGATACTCTGGCAGGGGAGGGAATTTGCTCATGCCCCCCCTGCCCCGACCCCACCCCTTTCCTGTCCCCATTCCAACCCCTTCCCCAAATCCCTGCCCCAGCCCTACCTCCTCCCTTGAGCACACCACATTCCCCCTCCCACGCAAAACAGCTGTTTCATGGTGCAAGCACTGGGAGCTAGGGGGAAAAAGTGGGCACTTTCTCGAGTGATCAACATTCACTCTCTTTCTTGAATGATCAACTCTTCTTTGGGGAAGAATAATAATGGCAAAATCCCAGACGTTTTTAGATATTTAAAAATTCCTCCCAGACTGCAATTTAAGAACCAAGAAGCCAGACGTGTCTGGGAAAATATGGACATATGGTAGCCCTACCTCAGAACTGCACCAGATGAAATTGATGGAAGCTGAAGACCATTTGAGGGTGCTCATCTCCTTAAACGATCAGGCCCCTGAACCATGCCTTACATCATATTTTCTAGTGCTTTGTCCATACCCGGTACATAGCATCGGCTCTTAGAGACAATGTGAAAACACATCATGGCATGTTGCAAAAATAAAAAACCCAAGAAGCTATGGTTTGAGAGTACCTCATTCCAATTCCCACAGAGCAGAAGTAAGTTGAAATGAATCTGTTGCCCACTTCACAGACCAGGGGATTGTAAAACTGCTTTGAGGGATGATTTTTGAATTTCAAAGATTGCTTGGTATGAACCATAATAAAACCCATCACCTGGTCACTGAAACAGACCTGAAATGGGTAGCCTACTAAAACAGCATGATTATTTTTAATCTCATCCTGTTAATTACAACACAAGTGGTATAAATATTGTTGCAGTGTGTCACCAGATCACTTTCTCTGTATTTTCTTGTGATATATTTTATGGAAAAAAGCTATTCTCAGTAATGCCGATCATTACAGGTAGCTGTAATGTTGTACAAACAGATGTGTAAATAAATTATTTGCTTTTCCTGCATCACTAAAAGGCTATGTCTTTACTGGGGGTGACTAACCTAACATTTTTCTTTACCACAAGTCCCACTTATACACTGCATACTTCAAATCACTCTAAACCTTTAACACTGTGCTTTGAGTTCAGAGAGAGGGCAAAACTAGAAGAGCCCTCAGTTACATCCATGCCAACCCCATTAACTTCAGTATTGTTGGATGGCTGGCACGGGGGATAGATTTACCTGACACTCTTATGCTGAGATTCCAGGAGTTTGTAGGATACATAATGTTAATACTTCATGGGAGTGATCATTTAATTCCTCCAAGCACTCCTCTTTTAAGTCCAGGGGGGCTCCAGCTGTGGAAGAGTTTGCAGGATCAGGACACAGCTCCTGCATTTGGATCCATTTGCTGAGCCATGCGGTTAATTGGTGCATGTTTTGATTCCTTAATTTGTGGGAGGGGGCTGCACAATTTATAAGTAGCAAGTTATAGTAAATCTAAGAATTATGGGTATTACAATAGATTAAGGCCTCAAATTGGGCCATGTGCATATATTAGATAGTTGCACATGCATCTCTGTGACATAATGTTATTCAACTCCAGTATTGACCAACGGGAGATCATTTAGCTGTGCCAGTAATTTACTACATGTATGGGCTATATCAGCTAAGGCATATTTACCTCCATCTACATTACCTTGCAACAAATGGAAGTCTTTATTGCAGTCATCCCTACCGGCCACATTTCTATTCCTAAATGTGACTGGTGAAGGAACGTTCAGCTTGCATCCACACGGCAGCTGGTTTCCCATCGCAGCACCGTTTGCACGAATGCATTCTTGGGAAACGTAAGCATCTCTGTCCAGCAGAGACACCAGGGGATGGAGTTCCTGAGAGACATGCAGCCAGAGCAGCACAAAAGGCAATACCAACTGGGGAGTCAGATTCCCCATTACAAAGGGACTAGCCTGCTGAACTAGCTCCGTACCTGTTTAGGTTTATAGCTGGTTACCCATACTGAGTAGAACCACGTGGTGTCTAGACACAAATCATGCACAGAGCCAACCGTGCCAGTAATTAGTTACAAACTCACTTAAAGGTCAGTGTGTGGACAGGGCCCAATGTTAAGATCATGCAACCACCCCAGTTTTACCACCAGCTTCCCTAACCAATCTGGAGAGGAATTTTCCTTATCCAGTTATTAGCACAAACAGAGCCTGGTGCACCAGATGCAACAAAAAAACCCTCTTCCAGAGTATCTCAGGAACACCTCTTCAATCTCCCTGTGTTACTGCTGCTGATTTGAATCCAGTCATTTCGACTGCACTGAAACACGTTAGCCCGGTTATTCACCATGCACTGTTCCTTGGCTTATCTCTGGAGTTCATCTATACTTCCAGGGAGCAGTAGATACTCTTCTGTAGTCAGTAGAAGAATGAGACTGTCAGATACAAATGAAGATATTTGCTGCTGTGTAAAGGTCACTTAGTACTTTACAGAGATGGAGCCTGCCAAGACATTGCAAGAGGAATTCTCACTTCTTGCAAAACTCTTGGTAGGAAAAAAACTTGATGGTAGAACTTCAGTGCAGTTTCTCAGGTTTGCAGAGACTGTATTACAATGCCCAGAAGGAGCCAACAAATAGTCGTCACACTATCGTCAGACTCTTACATACAGCAAAGGGGAGATAAATCAGCAATCCAATAAAGAGAGAGTTTTAGTTTAAGATCCTAGAGGAAGCATGAAATTCAACTCACCATATTCTAGTAGTAGCTTAATAAGAAATAAACACACCATTATAAATCCCCTAATTAAGAAAAGCCTTCCTACCAATAAGTTAAATCTACCAACTCTGAGGACTAGAGGAAGCTCCTAAAGCTACAGTAAATTCTAGAGTTGGCATTACATTGGATCTCTAGGCCTGAATGAGCTTCTCCGCTCTGCTCCACTCCAAAACTGAAATGAGTATTGCAAGGCTAGAGCATGCTTCCCCCACACTGGAATAAGGCCTGTAGGAGGTTTAATCGTCCCTTAGCCCCATCCTAATAGACTGGACACATCAGCCCCTCCACCTGATCCAAACTGGAGTCTTGCAGCTAGCTGCAAACACTGGTGTCTCTTCCAGCACCAAGAAAACTCCATCAACACATTATTCTAAAGGTAAAAATACCTAAGACGCTAATCTCTCAGGGGATGGAAGATTCAGAATAGGAAAAGAGAAACCAACCTTGCAGATGGGTTCTGTCAGTCTCTCTCTGGGACTAATTAAAGAATTCTAATTCAGATAGTAGATATTGCTCGTTTAGCCCTTCCATGAGCCAATCCCAGAGGCCTGCATCCGTACTGTGACAGATTCCAAAACAGAGATACTTGTAATTCACGTTATATGAGAGGAGGCTGTGTGACTATAGGCATTTATGGGGCAACAACAGCATATGTGAGCAGCACCCAGGGAAACATGGCACCTGTGGAGAAGCCAAAAGTGATGAAAAGCAATAGCAAGACTTTCAATTCATTCTTTATATAACCCTCTGTGACAGTCTGGAAAAGTACTCCGGAAATGTTACAATAATGCCTGCCATTAGCACATTTGTCATTCTAACTCACTGTCATGCATCTTACATTGCCGGCAGGGTAACATGATCAGGGCAAACCAACAGTCTTAGCTTCTTATATTTATCCCACTGCAAATGTAAGATGAACTCCTGTGACCATTTTACTCTCTTAACATAGCTGGAGAATAGCCAGGCTGCTGCAACACCCCCACCTTCTCCAGTAATCTTTTGCAGCTCAAAGTTTTGCTTCAGACATGGGTCTCACATCTTCAAAAGCTCCCACTGGGCCTGATTTGCTGTTGCCCTGCACCTTCTGTCACTTGCACCTGTGCCAAGTGTGTGTTGAATGTTACCAATCTGATTTGGTAATATTTTACAGCTGCTTTACTCTAGTGTAAACGACCATGTGCAGAGGAGAGGAGCATCAGGCCTCTTATGTATCGGTTAAGCTTTTAATTCACCTCTCAAGTGTCAGATTGTCTGGCTAGAGTCTTAGCCTCCAAAGGAGTGTAAGGGGAGGACTCTTTTATAATTATCAGATGATCACATAAAATCAAGAGATTTTTTTTTTGAAGTTGCTCAAAGGGTTATTTTCTGAAGATCTGTGTTGCTACCTAGTCTGCAGGCGGATTCTTAATACAATGTGTACCCTTTTATAATACAGCTCCTTCCAATGCTTGATGGGATTTCTCCTTACAAGTACATTCATGCTCGGAGCTAGAGCAAAAATGGCTTATGAATACTCCATAGAGCTCTCTTGCTACCTATTATCTTCTGAGGCTTCCCCCGTTTCCAAGTCTCCCTGTACTATGAAATTTTGGATATACAGCTTCATAATAGCAGGCTCAAAGAAAACACCCCACTCTGTGTATGCTAAACTCAATTCACAAAAGAGATGGGAGGTGATTTTGTTCCCAAAACACAACAGCAGGTCAGGCTAACAAGCTTTAGTGACCCACTTCCCAGCTTAATTACTCGCCTGTATCACTTGCTGGGAAAATCAAACAGCTATTACATCTGGTGGAAACTGTGCGTGAGTTCAGCGTGCCACTACATCTGCAATCTTTGAATAAGAAATGCTACTATTTCTTCCCTATGCTGTGCATAGGATCTTTAATTAATCCCAAACCCTCAGCTCCCTTTACAAACAGGAATTAAATCTTGCAACAAACACCCCTGTGAGCTGGGCATTATCTAACTCAGTGTTTCTCAAATGCAGCCACCAGGGGCTTTGCTTGCGGCCACAGCCTGGGCGGTGATTGGGGGGAGAGGAAGTAGTAGCCGTGGCCTCTCCCCCTGGGGTCACCAGCAAGCGTTGGGCCCTTCCCCACTCTGGAGAGACAAACGCTGGAGGATCAGGCAGCTACTGAGTTCCTGGAGGTGGTGGGGCCAGTCTTCAGCTCTGGGGTGGCAGGCAGCAGGCTCAGGCTGCAGGACTTTGAGCTCTGGGCCCCCGGGTTCTGGCCCCTGGGCTCATGCCGCTCCCATCGCCCCTGGCCCTTGCTGCCTACCTCCCCATCCAGGGCTTAATTTGTCCCGTGTCTTGCCCGGGCTGAGTAAATCTGCTGTGAAAAGTGATATTTGTATGTTTGTTAATACCACTTTTCACAGCAGACTTAGTAGCTAGCTGGGAGGCTGTGAAAAGTGATATTAACATACAAGTATCACTTTTCACAGCAGCAGGCTTACTAGCTAGCACATTTTAAAAAAAACAACAACCAGAAAAGCAAAAGAAACAACAACAAAAAAGACAAGAATGTGCAAAGCATCTTATTTGTGGTTTTATTCTGTTTAGTTCCAGTAAAGTATAGAGACAATTGTACATTATTTTTATTATTGAGATTGCAAAAAAAAAAAAACCTATATAAATAAATTACAATGACTTGGACATGTGTATGTCCATATTTATTTGTTTGTTTTCTAAAGTTAATTAAGTATTTTAGGAAAAATTGTGAGAGCGGCCACCAAAAAATTTCTTGTGAGAACCCCTGATCTAGCTCCATTTCATAGAGGGAGAAACTGAGGCAAGATAGAGGTTAAGGGCCTTTCAGTAGCAGAGCTGGGAAAAGAACTTGTGAGTCTGACCTGGATGGCAGCATCTAGGTCTTTTATAAAAGGAGATACACCACACACGGAACCAGTAGGTGAGCACACTGGTCAGTTCTTGCAGTTTGACAGAAAGGGCTCTAATATATCTGTATTATCTTGGCATTCCTATTGCACTCATTCCTGTCGTGTCTAAGTGTCATAGGAGCTAATGTTTTCTGCTGCTTCGATCTGCTGTCTTCTGTGCTTGCTGGCCCATCTAATAACATCCCTCCTTAAATGTTATTTGCCCTAATAAATACAGCAGGTACCAGTCCAGCCAGCAAAAATCAGAGTAGACCTTTGGAACCAGCTGGCCCTAGAATCAGCAGAGGCAGAAAGAAGGTTAAGAGCAAGAGTTTTGAGTATTTCAGGATTAAGCCCATTATGTATTATTCTATAACCTGTCTCGTTAACACTCATTTGTAAAAAAGCATAGGGATGATAAAGTCTATTATATCATGAGCAGACTCATGGACATCATGCATTACAATTTTGCCATAATGCTGTGACTATGACACTTAGTTTGTAACCATAATGACCCAGGGATACAGCATTTTTGTGAAGCTGAGGACAGATTTTTGGTGCAGGGAAAAATGGCACAATGGCCAGATTACAAAATAGATGCAGACATCCTAAGAATGCTACAGAGTGGTTAATTAGGCTGCCGTACACATTATTCAATAGCCGCTGAATGTCTGTATTTATGTACAACTCTTACTTACCCTGTTGCATTTTGCATATGTAGGTTATGCCAATAAATTGCCCAATGTGCGTCATGAAATATTTTGATCCCTTTAGAATGGTTTGACCGTTCTAAATGTGGTTTGATTTAAAAAACAACATTAAAGGTCAAACATTAGACATTAAAAGTCACTACACTGGAATGCTGTCAGTAGCAAAACACCCCCCTCCCCTGCACCTCAGCAAATTATTTAGTGTCAGTGAAACACCCGAGGGCCAAATTCTATCCAAACGACACTTTTGCAGATAAGATCTGTCATCACATTACACACCAAGCATGAGCCATAGTTCATTGTAATAGAGAAACATACTATTCAGTCTCAGAGCCAACGGGTCAGTTTTCTTTCATTATGCACAAAAAGTTTTTTAAATGTGCGCATTAAATATTTACGCTTAAAATTCATGCCCTTACTCCCACCACTCCTGAAATAGGAAGGCTGTCACGAAGGCAGGCAACTAACCTCCAAAAGCACTGGTGGGAAAGCTAGACAAAATAGATCAAACTTTCATGTGCAGTTAAATACTATTCCAGCAGATGGCGTTATAGGTCTGTGTAGTCAATTTTTAAAACCCCTGAGCGGGAAAAGAAGTGGGGGATGAAGAACAAAGGAGGGGAAAGAGGGGCAGAGAATTTGAAATCTGGTCTGGGGATGTACCTTGTTAAAACACTGCTGCCTCCTGCAAAAACTTGTGCCAGATGCGTCAGAGAAAGGAGAAAAATGATGCAGCCAAAGAACTGTGCAGTCCGGTCCATATGGTCACTATCTGTATGTCTATACTGTAATTGAAGCCTATATAATCCATCTACAGTCATGCAGGGGAACAGGGACTGTGTCACTCTCACACCCTAGGACAGAGCAGGTTTGGACCTTTCTTGGCATGAAGGCTACTTAGTACAAGCACATGGTGCCATGGCGCAGTATACTGAAGGGGTTGATTTGTATTTGCGTTGATGTATTAACTGAAGATGCAGGGGGTGAGAGATATTGGGTGGGGGGTCAGCCCTCAGTCTCCTAGGTATCATGGCGTTATTCCCAGGCAACACAGCCAGCTCTGGGAAATAGGAGCATTTCCCCAGTTCTCTGCCAGGTAATATGGACCGCTGATTATTCGCAGGCGATCATTTCCCCAGGGCTGTAGCTAGGCCCAGAGCTGCCGCTTGTGTAGGATTCATTCTCATCAGTCCTCTGTTTGCAAACACCTTGGGGCTGATCTTCCACTTGCAACTTGGTTCGTCTCTAAGATGCCACAAGTCCTCCTGTTCTTTTTGCAGACCTCCTTGGGTATGTGACACAAAGTATTGCCTGAAGGGAGATTAATCATACACAGAAAATGCTACCGAATAAAAGTCGTCCTAATTGCAATAGGCAAATCTGGTGGAGCCTATATAAGCTTTCTGAAAAAGTTCTCAGCATGTGTACTAGTGCTAAACTCTGTATTTCTGTCCTATTGCAAGCTGTGTTATCCCTTACAGGTTTGATGATAATTGGTGGATAGTATATTAGTTCTCCTTACATACCCACCAGTAGCTAAATAATCAATAACGCCTAATGCAAGTGCAGTTGTTCGCTTGGGAGGTGATTGCCGATGTTTTTTTTTTATTTGAAAAGCAAAGTTTTGTACTTAGCAAAGCAATTGTTCACTTTCCAAGCCAGCTATTCCTTGGGCTGAAGTTCTCAAACAAAGTCTGGGTCTTTACTTAATTACCCAAAGAGGGGGAGGGGTGTCTACATAAGAGAATACATGTACTTTTTATAGGATGCCATAAATCAAGTAAGACTGAACAGATGCATGGATACAAACTGACATATTATAGAAAGCTCGATAGATTAAATTATATCATATACATATTCCCCTTAAATTATACTGTTTGCAGGAGGAAGACAGCAGCCACTAAAAGCCAAGTAATAAGGTCTATCAATTTAAAAACTGCAAGCCAAAAAAGAGTTATTTCAGTGCAAAGCTACATTATGTGTCAAAACTACACAGTCCAAATTCTCCCCTAAAAACAAGATCTAGAGTGAAATCGCAACTGATTCGCTTCGTGGGGTCTGACCCAGCGTTAGCCACAAGACTAGAGATTTAAAGGAGAAAAAAAACCCTACAGGGGTCCTTATTATTATTGTTATTTTATTTTCTTATCTAATGTATAATAATAGGCTCAAACTCCAAACACGAACTCTCAGGCTGTCAGGAAATACGTTCTGAGCTGACATAGAGTACTGTTAGACTGCAGGATGGTCTCCCGAAGGAGTGAGGGAAACCCACTTTCTTGGGACATTTCCCGTGTAGACCGGACACTGCGCTCACAGTCCCGAGCGTGCGGCAGGGAACACTTTGCTGTATGTGCATTTCACACTGGGGAAGCTGGGGAAACAGCCCGGCTTCTTAGCCCTCTCTGCGGTGCGGTTGCTGCAGCTACGCCAACGTGTGCATCGCTACAGACACGAAGTGAACGCTGCAGGAAGAAGTGCTCGGTGGCTTAGGGGATTGGATGCGGTTTAGGAAGCGTCGTACCGCTAGGTCGCTGGTTCAAATCTGGCCGACCTTGGGCAGTGTTACTCCGGTGCTCAGATTTAAATGCAAACCCATGCAAAGGGAGGCGATGTCTGGGTAAAGACGTGCACTCCTAAATGGGGAGAGAGAGAGGTGTGATATTCCGCAGCCACGACGGGGCTCTCTGGGTTCCCCTCCCTCGTTTTATTCAGATGATGCCGGGGGTTGGGTTCTTTGTCTCTACGGCCTGTTGCGTGTCTGAAAGCTCGTCCTAGAATGAGGCCTAAATTGCACGGTGCATTACATGAGTCGTGGAAGTTTGTCTCTGGCTTGGTAACTGCTTATTTGGGAAGGTGCAGCCATAACATGCCACCTTGAAATCCCCTCTCCGGATGGGGGCGATGGATGCATGGGAAGCTTGGTTTGCATGGTTGCAACCACTTCTCCTGGAAGGAGCAGGGGGCTACTTAGCTGCAGGCGTCCTCTTTTCTCCTTGGCGAGGGTTGCAGACGGGAGATAGGGAAAGGTGGATTCGCCCTCTACACACATTCTCATAGGGAAGGATTTAATTTCCCTTGAAAGTTTGCTCACGGCCGCTTTGCAACTTCTGGCGGGTTTTTCAGAGTCTGGGAGAGGCAAATTGAATCACAGCAGGGAGACTTGGTTTGATGAATTCCAAGGTGCATTGAGGCCTGGACTGCTCCTCGCAGCTTTGTAGCTACTAGTGATTAGGGGGGTCCATTGGAAGGATTTTGAGGTGCATGGGATGGCAGTCGCGGGAGGACGCGCGCCGTTTGCGCACGGGAGACCTGAAAGTTCATCTGTAGCCGCTTTGCAGCTGCTGGCTTTTGCTTTAGTTATACTGGGGGGAAGGTGTAGGGGAGAAAGGGGGGGACGCGGTGTATTGCGACCCTCCCTCACACACTGCACGCGTGAGTCCCGGAATATCTTCCTTGCCTGCTCTGGAGCTGCTGGCGCTTAGGGGAACTGCATGGAAGGAGCGGAGGGGTGCAGCGTTGCATTACAATCCACCCGTCCGCTCCCCTCAGGCAGGCTGTTTTACATGCATAAGGCCGGAAAGTTTATCCGTGGCTGCTTTGGAGCTGCGGGGGGTCGGCAGCTGGCTGGAGGGGGAGGGTGCGCTGTGCCCCGCGCGGCCAGCGGCGGAGAGACCGTTGGGCCACGCGGATGGAACGCAGCCAGGGCACACAGGCCGTTGGGCCACGCGGATGGAACGCGGCCCGGGCGAACGGAACGTTGGCCCCGGGCGGATGGAACGCAGGCCCGGGATCGTTGGCGGCTGCCTTCCACTGGCTGCTTTCGCCTGCTGCTAGCCCGTCAGGCGCGGTGGCCAAGTGGTAAGGCGTCGGTCTCGTAAACCGAAGATCGCGGGTTCGAACCCCGTCCGTGCCTGAAAGGAAAACGTAGCGCCCGGACTGCTTGGGAGGAAGGGGGAGCCTGGCTCCGCCTCGTGCAGCCTCTTTTTATTTTTCAGCCTCTGCTCCGTTTATTGAGAGACACAAAGAGGGGGCCCGGGCTGCAGCGCCGAGGGGACCGTGTAACCTCCCCCTGCTCCTCCCCGGGGAGGTGCTACTGCATGCAGCGGGCTCTTCTGGCGCCGCCGCGCCACGGAGCGTGCACCGGTCAGCACACGGGCCCCCCCGGCTGCGGGGGCCGGGCGCGCGCCCACCGCCGGCGGAGCGCTGCAAGGGGGTGGGATTGCGTGCGCTCTGCAGACCCCTCCGAGCAGCTATCTATGGCCCTAGGCTACCGAGACTGTACCGGGAGGACTGCAGTCGGGCAGCGTCTTTTCCTGCATTGCATTGCATTGCATTGCAATGCAAAGGGGGGGGGGGAATTGCAGCAGAAGAGCCCGTTTTCCAGCGTTGCAAAGGGGGAGGGGTGCACGGGGTGGGGGCTGTTTTCATGCATTGCTCGTGTGTGGTGTGCTTGAGAGAGTCCGCGAGAAAGAAAAGGGGACTGGCCGCTGGGGAGCGGGTTTTCCTGCATTGCACAGGTCTGTGTGTGACGGGGGTGGAAGGACAGTTGTCTTTGCACTGGGAATGCAGCTGGGCTCCTTGATTTGTCATGCATTGTGCCGGGTTACAGCTGGGCAGCCCCAGTTTCATTGCATGCGGAAATTGCAGATGGCCAGTTTTCTGCTTTGCTTTGGGGGGGTAGGGTTGCCAATTTTGGTTGGATGTATTCCTGGAGGTTTCAGCAGAGGACATACTCTTTTAATTAAAAATTAATAATTAATTCCTGGGGAGTCCAGGACAATCCTGGAGGGTTGGCAACCCTACTTTGGGGGAAGCGGGTTGGTGCTGAAATTGGAGAACCTATTGGCCTGGGCTTGGTCAGGATATTGATTAAGCCCTTAGAACACTTGAGTACTAAACAAATAATAACTGTAAGTGTTTAATACAGCTTGCTGTGCCCACTCCAGTCTTGTTAGTTAATAATCTTTCTAATTGACCAAAAACGTAGTTACATGCATGTGGTAGGATTGCCAGGTGTCCAGTGTTCAACTGGAACACCCGGTTGAAAAGGGATCCTGGCAGCTCTGGTCAGCACTGCTGACCGAGCCGTTAAAAGTCCAGTTGGCGTGAGGCTGGCAGGCTCTCTACCTGGCTCCACGTGGCTCCCCAGAAGCGGTGACATGTCCCTGCGGCCCCTTGGCGGAGGGATGGCCAGGGGGGCTCCGCGCACTGCCCCCACCCCAAGTGCCGGCTCCGCAGCTCCCATTGGCCGTGGAGCTGTGGGCGGAGGCAGCGCGCAGAGCCGCCTGGCCACGCCTCTGCCTGGAAGCTGAGGGACAAGCTGGCCGCTTCTGGAAGCCGCCTGAGGTAAGCGCCGCCCACACCTCCTCCCCCACGCCAATCCCCTGCCCCAGTCTGGAACCCCCTCCCGCACTCTCGGCCCTAGTCCAGAGCCCCCTCCTTCACACCAAACCCCACATCCCCGGCCCCACCCCAGAGCCTGCACCCCCAGCCAGAGCCCTCACCCCATCCCGCACCCTGCTGCCCTCCCCGAACTGCCTGCTCCAGCCCTGAACCTCACCCAAATTCCCTCCTGGAGCCTGCACCCCCTCCCGCACCCCAAACCCCATATCCCCAACCCCACCCCAGAGCCTGCACCCCCAGCCAGAGCCCTCACCTTCTCCCGCCCCCCAACCTCCTGCCTGAGCCCCCTCCCACAGCCAAAATCCCTCCTGGAGCCTGCCCCCCCAGCACTCCAAACCCTTCGGCCCCAGCCTAGAGCCCCCTACTGCACCCCAAACCCCTCATCCCCGGCCCCACCCCAGAGCCCACACCCCCAGCCGGAGCCCTCACCTCCCCCCCCCACCCCAGCCTGGAGCCCCCTACCACACCCTGAACCCCTCATTTCTGGCCCCACCCTGGAGCCCACACCCCCAGCTGGAGTTCTCACTCCCTCACACCCCAACCCCTTGCGCCAGCCCATTGAAAATGAGCGATTGGGTGAGGGTGGGGGAAAGCAAATGACAGAAGGAGTGAGCGGGGGCAGGGTCTCGGGGAAGTGGCGGGGCAGGAGGCGGGGCAAGCGTGTTTAGTTTTGTGTGATTAGAAAGTTGGCAACCCTAGCATGCGGTTATTTAACACTGGGCATGTATAGACAGTCTGGGATTTTCACTGTAGCTTCTGGGAGTTAGGTGTCCAATTCTCAGGCTCTGTTGCTCTCAGCCCAAATTACCACTGAAGATGCAGCAGGAAAATGGTGACTCCTTTCTATTAAAGGGGGCGATCCCTTTGTGCCATCCAGGCCTGAGTGAGTGGCAGCTGGAGAGCCCCACATCAGGCCCTTAACCGAGGACACCAATCCAGGATGAATAAAGAGATAAGAGACACCGATAGCACACTCCTTATGGCTAATGAACAACTGTGACCCAAAAGCACCTCCCATGTCTTTATCTGTGTTAATAACTTAAGCTGTAAAAGAACCGATGTAGAATAGAATAGAGCTGGTAGCTCACTCACTGGTGATTTTTCCATAGGATCTATGTGAGTGTGTGTCCTAATGTATGCTTGGTCTGAATTAAAACCCTGGATCTAAGACACCCCCAATGCTGGAAGTTCAGTTCCTCATCCAAACTAAAGCTCAGGCCCCTCCCTGCCACACAGCAATATGTTGTGATGGGCAGAGTAGGGAAAGGAAACCTTGATGCCACATATTGCAGTGATTCTTGTCTTACTGTTTGAGAAGAGGACAGAGGCAATGTGTTTTTGCTTAATAATTGTGAGTGTAAATAGTTCAATAAAGGAACATTTGGTGCTGCATGGCGGGTGGAGGATTGCTTGGTAAGCATGAAGCACTGAATTCTGCTTGCTTTCACCCTTGGTTGGTTGCGACGCATAACTCCTGTAAATGGTATTGGGAGGCCAAATTGTGGTGTAAATTTGGGGAAGCATAGAGTTCCCTGGAGTTGCCCCTGCTTACATCAGTGCTGAATGTGGCCCCGGGACTCTTTGCATCTACATTTATGCAAGGGGAGTTATACCAGATTTGTGTAATGTACATATCTGCGACTCAGAATTCTAAAGTAGGGGGTCTGAGATGGATGAAGCTGAGAGTCACTGCTTTCAGGCATTGTTGCCCAGTGGTTAGAGTAGAGCAGTGAGGTTCAGTCCTCAAAGGTATTTAGGCTCCTAACTTCCATTTATATCCATGGAAATTATGCAGACTAAATACCTTTGCGGATCTGGGCCTGGGAGTCTCTGGTCCTGATTCTGCCACTGCCTTACTTGATTGCAAAGTACAAATGGTTAGATACTTCAGAAGACCGAAGACCTGAGCCACCTCTTTTAAAGAGAAGGCCACTTATTCTGGTGCCTTGGTGAAAGCTGAGCTCTTGGAAAATCTGTCCCTAATTGTTTTGTGCTTCACATTTACTCGCACGCTAAATGGATATTATGCCGTTTATCTACCCCACATATGTGTTGGAAGAATTCATGTGTTTAAAAAGCACTTTAGACTCTTAGGATAAAGGGTATTACGGAAGGACACCATATTATCAAACCAGAGAAAGTGTCATTTAGATCGCACTGTAAAAGGCAAAGGATGCAATTCCTGTACATTGGATTAGTCAGCTCTTGCACAAAAGTGTGATGTGACCATAAGACTGAGAGCTAGGCATTTTCAGTTCTAATTCCATCTCTGAGGCTGACTTTCTCTGTGGCCTAATAAGCCAATTACTTGCTGCTTAATTTCACCAGCTGTAAAATGGGGATAATACATTCTAACTCATAGCTGCAGAGCAGGGAAAATGTAATGGAACGTTTGCCCAGCGTCTGGAAGATGAAAACACTCAGCACATAGGCAGGGTTTATGATTATTGCATTAATCTGGTCCAGCTTCATCAGTGTTTGTTCAGACTCAGCTGGCCAGAGACTGCCTGGCATTTACTGGTTTCTTCGTAGCTCGCCTGTAGGGTGAAAATCTTGGGCTCTGATCCGGCAAACAGACCATACAGATGGACCCTTGGGCTGTATTCAATGCATTTTTAATATGGGAAGGGTAGAGAGAAATGCAGTCCTGCATCTGGGACTAGATAAAATTTAAAACCTACAAATTTGGTTAAGAGATTAGAGAAACAGACGTTTCTTCCAAAGATTATGTCACAAGGGGTTCCCTGTTAATGGAGGGAGGGATGCTATATTTCTTGAGGGTATGTATTGGAAACTACACCAACTGGAGTCAGGTTTCAGAGTAGCAGCCGTGTTAGTCTGCAAGTTTTTAGCCCCTGTAGAACAAATGATTACTAATAATATTTGTGCTTATCTACCAGCTAGCACAGTGAGGCTCTGACCTGATTAGTCCTTAAGCTCTCCTACAATACGATGCAAACACACAATGCTCTTTGTACCATCTCCCCTGCTCTGATTAACCCCAGGCCAGTCCTCCAGGGTTCTTATCCCAGTCCTATCCCTACAGAGCCGAAGTACATTCCTGGCACCACCCTTTACACAGAGCTCTCTTGCCCCTTTCTTCTACGAAACCTGAACCAAAGCAATTGTGAGCCTCTTAGTGCAGGGGCCATCTTGTAGTTATGTCTTTGTACAGCACCTCGCACAATGGAGCGCTGATCCATGAGGGGGCCCTTTGACACTATTACAATACAAATAATAAACAATACCATTGCTTAATAAGTCAGAGAACTTAAGCAGATTTGGTGAGAGACAAACAAATGAGCAGCTGCACTGAATTATGATGCAAGAGACTTTTAAAAATGCCTGTTAAGGGCCTAATTCTGCCATCTTTAGTACTTATATACTCACCCATATTGAACACAGTGGGACTCTGTGCTTGGAAAAGTGCCACTCAGCATGAGTAAGGGGGGGCAGGATCGGGCCCTACGTGTTACACTGTTTTATTCTCCAAGAAAACCACTCAGAAATGATTGATGGTGAATCTGATTTTTCTCCCCTACTGGGCAGTTAAGACAGACTGTGGAGAGCCTTTGTCCCTGGCATTTTGCTACTGTTGGGACTGTCAGGGTATCAAAAGGGTAGATGTGTTCATTATGCATCCTGCTGACCTTTGAACAGACAGACTCTGCAAAAGGAAATGCTTGTACTCCTCATAGCATTGGAGCTGCGCCAGGCCTGAGCCCTGGTACCGCACCTCTCATGTTGGGAGATCAGATGCAATGAAAGAGCCCTGCTGTGTTGCATGTTACTATCAGACTAAGTGAAAGTGCTCACCTCCCCGCTAGCTCCGGCATGTGATTTCCAGACCCACTCTATAGGGCAGCACAGTGTTCATGGGGGTTGAATGTGAGGAGCTTCCTTATCAGCCGCTGTTGCAAACCTAAGGATGGGTGAACAACATGCCTGGTAATACTGTGTGTTTACAGCATGGTAGAATGGACACAAACGTGGTCTGTGTGGTGACTAGGGACAGCGAGGAAGACTGAAAACCAGCACTCCCAGTGTCATGTGCTGGGCAAAATGAAACCTCAAGCAAATTCTGAACAAAATCATTTTAATCCTGTCAATGGCT